TCTATCTATCTATCTATCTATCTATCTATCTATCTATCTATCTATCTATCTATCTATCTATCTATCTATCTATCTATCTATCTATCTAGTATACAACACAACAAAGTCTTGAAACGAAACCAAACGTTTAAGAAACTTGAGAAATGGAAACCTAAGTGTTTAAATTTAACACATTAACCGTAGTATAGATCTGCAGCTTTCTCTGCAAATATTTGCTAAATAGTGTTTTAATAAAATCATATCAGGGTAAATCAGAAATGCATGTATTTCACTGATCCTATCCTATCCTATAATTTTCCCTATTTATAAAGATGTAATAATCAGTCTGTGTGAATGATCAGTCATCTCCTGGTCAAATGCTTTAAAAAAAAAATTGTTACAAGTATTCATCTGATTACAACAATTTTTTTTATCCATTAATGAGCCAGCCAATGATCCAGTTTATTAGTCTAATAAAAATCAGATAAAGGTTTTAAACATTTACTCTGATGCATAAAGTATGTGAGCTGTATTGTTTCTGTATTTCTGACATAGATTCTGCAGCATTGTTTTCTCATTTATGTCTTATAGAAGTTAGGGGGAAAAAATAGATTAGTCCGACTTAAAATTGTAAATCAGTATATCTGTGTCCTCAAAGCTGTCTGAAAGATTTGCTATCTACTTGTTTTGGGGAAAAATAGGGAAAAATAAGGAAAAAGTAAGTTCATATGTTTAACTATGAGGTTTTTTTATGAATTCGATTTATTGAAAGGATTCTGTTAGAATAAAAATAAATACCGGTAATGCATATGTGCAGTGTTTTTTTAACAGCCATCTTAGATTTAATCTTAGTCTTCAGGATAAAAAACTATTATTAGTCTTGGTCGCATCATAGTCATTATGGTATGTGATAGATTTAGTTGGTTTTAGTCGACTAAACCTTTAAAAGGTTTTAGTCTAGTTTTATGTTGCCAAAAAAGTTAACCTTTACAATTTCGAATAACAACCAGATTCTTCACCAGATTGACAGCTCTTGCCTAGATGCTACAATCGGTATAGAATTCTGCCATCCAGTTCATCATTGGTGTTGGACAGAAAACTTTGATTTATAGAATTCAAATAAACTTTTTTATCAATTAATACCCTACTTTGTAAAAAAAAAAAAAAAAAAAATTTGTCTCACAAAAGCTGTGAAAATGGCAGGTTTAGTTCAATGCATCATATTGGTTAATATAGCAGACAAGCTAACATAATATACAATAAAGGAATGGTTTTAGACATACAAGGTTTCCATCGTAAAGCAAACACTTCCTGATGTACTATGAATTATGCATTACATACAGATAAATAAAATCTTCATTGTTCCAATAAAGCAAAGAACAAAAACATTCTTCTTTCTATTTTGGCAGTTTCGGCTTTATTTCTTCAATTTGCCCCTTGGTTACTGCTGCTTATGGGTCAAAGTAGATTTAAATTCACAGGGGTTGGATTCTTTTTTTTTTAAATACAGAGAGAACCTACATAATTGCCTTGTAATGCCACGGTAATCTGGACCTAAATTGAATCAATATGTTAACTAAAATGTAGAAATATTTAAAGGCAACAGAGAAAATATTTTAATGACAATACAAGGAAACATTTACATTACATATCCAAGTACCTTTTCACCTGGCTCTTTACCCAAAAATATACAGAATGCAATGAAATATTTTCATTGGGTATAATATAGGGATTCTTTTTGGGTATAAATTAAAGAAGGTTTAGTATCACCTCTTGTGAGCAAGAAGAAGAAATAAAATCTTGATACTTGGGCACAGGGATTCTTTTACGCTTTGCAGAGGATGATCAGCCACATAGTTTATTAAATAGCGAGAGCAGGAAGAGCCAGACAGCTGAGAGCGAAACATCAGAGTGGAGCATGAAATGCAGACTCTGAGCTAAGCACACGCAAAGACACATTTCTGTACAGCTAGAAGAGCAGAATTTGTCAGAGTTGTACGGAGCCCCTAAAGGGACATGGAGGGTGAAAAAAGAACTTTTGCGAGATCCTGCAAAACTATTGCGGGATCTCTCAAAAGTTTTTTTTTTTTCCCTCCATGTCCCTTTAGGGGCTCCGTAGAGTTGAGCGTGCAGGACCGGACCATTGCAGGTTATTTTCTCAGACCCTGCCGCTGCTTCCATGATCATTCTGTGGTCATGCAGAATGTGTAGCGCTGCACGCCAGGTGGGCAGCAGGATAAAACAAGATGCGGCAGCACAGCTGATACTGCTTAGCAGATAACGGCACGATAATGCAGTTTAAACATCTAACCGACCCAGGTGGAGCTTTTAGGCAGCCGCCAGTCAGTGATATGTTTTGTCACCAGATTATTGTGAGAACAGGTCATTGGTCATAGTTCCAGTGGGATTTAAGCTTGGTTTTGTGTTACAGGCGTCCTTGGGGCGACTCAAGCCGAGATCGAGCATCACTTAGAGATGGGCCGTAAGCTCCTGGCGGCCGGTCAGCTCGCCGAAGCTCTGTCCCACTACCACTCAGCCGTGGGTAAGGTTACACAGAGCATTCAAGGAGTCTCAAACATCCAGGCTCTCTTAAATGTCTTGATTCAGGCTTAAATCTTCTGTGTTGTACACGTCTTTTTTTCTTCTTTTTTCTTTTTTGTCAAAATGTTTGCCAAAAAGTAAATTTCCTTCATTTTCCAGAGGGAGACTCTGAGAACTACCTGACCTACTATAAGAGAGCCGCTGTGTTCCTGGCCATGGGGAGGTCCAGGTCAGCACTGCCCGATCTGACCCACGCCATCCAGCTGAAGCCCGACTTCCTGCCTGTAAGTCGTTCTCCGAGGCTTTTTTAAAACGCCGACGTGACGATCTTTCTCACAGCGTCCCGCTTTTGCTTCAGGCCCGGTTGCAGAGAGGAAACATCCTGCTGAAGCAGGGAAACACACAGGAGGCCAGGGAGGACTTTGAGATGGTGGTATGTAGGCCTGAAACAATGAATCCATTATTGAAATGATCGGCGACTAATTTAACCATCAATTAATCGTAACCGGAGTATAGAGACTAGAGATGTCCCGATCCAGGTTTTTGCACTTCCGATCCGATATCGATACTGGCCGATACCAGCCTATCCGACCATGTATTTAAGTTTAAGTTAAAGTATTTAGCCTTAGTTGTAAGACTCATGTTGAAAAGGGTTTTAGTACTCTTGATAACATCTAGCCAGCTAAATTAGGTGAGATTGAATAAAAAACAATGCTTGGTACGACAAACTTACCTGTTTATTAAGAGATAAACACAAACTGGACAAAATTATGAATAGCAATCTGAAATTGCACAGTGAACAGTAAAACCGTAAACAGTTAAAGGTGCAAGTATTACTGTAAGTTTTAATAAAAATGCAAAACAGGGAAACACTGGCGCAAAATAGTGGAATGGATCGTTTCAATCGGCGAAACTGGAAAATACGGACCGGATTTTTAAAAAAAAACTGGATCGGCAGTCTGGATCGGCATTTTACATGCTTTGCCGATATGCATTTTTTTGCCAATATCGGCGTCCCGATCCGATATGTGGATCGGATCGGGACAAGCCTAATAGAGACTCTAGAACTGGTAGAGCAACCCACTCAGAAAACAAAATCATAAAAAAATGACAAACATTTAGCATTTAAGATGAAAACTTTTTTCCTGTCCATCAATATTTTTCGTGCCAGTTTCTCCTAGTTTAAATTCTGATAAAAAAATCTTCCCTAATCCAATTATTGAAAAAATAATGTACAAATTAATCGATTAGCAACATAGCCATTAGTTGCAGCTCTAGGGTTGTGTTTGGTATTTATGCTGCTGAGCAAGAATCAGGGTTCAAATGCAAAATTATGGAAGCATGGAACAGTGTTGGTTTTCCTTTGGGGTTTTCTTTTAATAAAAATAAAATACTGCAGAAAAAACTTTTGTTTTTTTAAATAACAAATTTTGTTAAAACATAATTTCATAAAACCAGTGGACTGTTTAAGCCTCTATTTGAAGGTTTCTTCTCTTAAATGATCAGTTTTATGCCTTAAATGAGACAAAATGTTAAGCTTTTTTTTTTTTAACCAGCTTTTATAAAACAGGAACTTTCACTGCCAAGCAACATTCAGGTTAATCAGAATAATCAAACTGCATGTTTGTAGTAAAGAATAAGAAAAGTGCCCTAAACACATCTGAAGCAGTGAAATGATGCATGTAATGCTTTCCCCCGATGGAGATCAGCATCCACCTGTTTTTTTCTTTCCCAGCTGCGGGGTTCTGCCGACCACAGTGAAGCTCAGGAGCAGCTGATGAAGACGAACGAGCTGGAGGACCTGCAGGAGGAAGCCCACGCCGCGTACCACCAGGGGGACTACAGCGGCACCATCAACGCATTGGAGAGGGTTATAGAGGTGGGTGTGGCGATTGGAGGGGCCAATTTCTCAATACTGACCGTTTTCTTTGTATGTGGAAAGCATTACTTTTAGGATTTGAAGTGTTTTAACTGTTGGAAATGTTGTTTTATCTCTTTAATGTCATTTTGTATCTCAGATCTCTCCCTGGGATCCAGAGTCAAGGGAGCTTCGTGCCGATTGCTACATGCGGATGGGGGATCCGCAGAAAGCCATCCAGGATCTCACCCCCGCCGCTAGATTACGCAACGATAACCGAGCAGCCTTCCTGAAGCTTAGCAAGCTGCATTACAGCCTGGGAGAGCACCACGAGTCCCTCAAGTGAGCCTGCTGCACTCTTGGTCATGCAAATCCAAGCATTTCACCTCCCTACTCCTCTGCTAATTTGTTTGGCCTCCATGTTCCCTGACTCCCCGTCTGTTGCCTTGTTTTGCTCACAGCCACATCAGGGAGTGTCTGAAGCTCGACCAGGACGACAAAGAGTGTTTCAGCCACTACAAGCAGGTGAAGAAGCTCAGCAAGCAGCTGGATTCTGCAGAGGAGCTCATCAATGAGGACAGGTCGGTGCACCTTGATTATTCTATACATAATATGGAGAAAGGGCGACCTTACAAAACCACATTAAATAAAATAATTATAAAAATGAACTGGAAATATTTGGTTTGTGCTCTTACAGAGTCTCAGTGTACTCGGGAGGCTTATTTTTTTCTCCAGACACATGGCAAATTAGAGGGAACATTAATTGTGGTCTTATACTACCAAAAACACACATTTAAACCTTTTTTTGTTTTTGTTTTTTAACCTGCATTACACGTTTTTCTATTGTAAAATAGTTCTCTCTGTTTCCGTGTGTCACAACATTATATATTAAAGACATTAATCAGAATAAAGGATCTTTGAGATGACTGCTCACTGTTTTTTTTTTTTTCATCAAGTTTCCAGATGATTAGATCATGTTGCCCTCACACTTTGTGTAGAAAGCTGCAAGATGAGTTTTTTGTTTTGTTTATTACTCTCTATCCTCAATCAGGTACCAAGAAGCTATTGATAAATATGAATCAGTAATGAAGACGGAGCCAAACGTCCAGTCCTATATCAACCGGGCTAAAGAGAGGATCTGCTTCTGTTTAGTCAAGGTGAGGGGAAAAAAAAGACGTCTGCCACATTAGGGACTTTATCATGTTTTAGTCGTCATTTAGTCTCTAATACTTGTTGCTCTTCACGATATTGCAGCTTCAGTTGGCAGCTGAGGCCATCGATGTTTGTTCAGAGGCCCATCAGAGAGACCCTCGCAATGCCAACGTCCTCCGAGACCGAGCAGAGGCCTACATCCTCAACCAGGACTACGAGAAAGGTAGAGAGACCGAGTCGGACAAGTCTGGGTTCTGCCAACAGGACAGTAATCCCAAAACACACACTCGGATTATAGTAAATAAAGCAGATTAACTTTGAGATCTTGGAATAAAGCAGGAGTCAACATACTACAGGCTGTCTGTCAATAACCAGTCATAAGAAGAGCGCTCAAGATGAAAAAAGATGAACCACAAAGTTGCCAGTTGCTGCAAAAATTGTAGATTTCTCAGCAGCTGTGTTTAAACTAGAATATGATTCAGGAAATCCAGACTTGGCGCCTGATTCCTGCTTCTGAAACTCACTGAAGTTGCTGGTTGTAGAACTAAACCATTCAGGTAACAGAACAACTCAACGGTTTCAGTAAAAGCCTCAGTTACATCTAGCGAGTTAGCATGAAAAGTGTTGCATGAACAAGTGTTTGGTGTTAAACAGATATCAGATTTATGTGTTTTTTTCATCCTTTAGCTGTCGAAGACTATCAGGAGGCGAGAGAGTTCGACGGCGACAGCATCGCCATCAAAGATGGTCTGGAACGCGCGCAGAAGCTGCTGAAAATCTCTCGTAAAAGAGACTACTACAAGATCCTGGGAGTTAGCAGGTGTAGTGTCCATCTAGATCCATCTCCAACTGCTTTAACTGGAATTGTGCAGCTCTTTAATGAAGCGTCCGTCCCGCCGTTCCCTCAGGAATGCTAATAAGCAGGAGATCATCAAGGCGTACAGGAAGCTGGCTCAGCAGTTTCATCCTGACAACTTCAAGTCGGAAGCAGAGAAGAAGGAGGCGGAGAAGAAGTTTATCGACATCGCTTCTGCTAAAGAAGTCCTGACAGACCCGGGTAAGGAGATGGTTTGATATACACATCACTTCCTGCTTTTCTAGAAATCTTTTTAAATGTTCGAGAATGAAAATAAAAAGCTGTTTCTGGGTTTTAATTTTCTCTTTTCTTTTTCAGTCTTGCTAACTTTTGTTTTTTATATCTTTCCCACCAACTGCATAGAGATGAGGCAGAAGTTCGATGAGGGGGAAGATCCTCTGGACCCGGAGAGCCAGCAGGGCGGCGGCGGCGGACAGAGAGGCTGGCCGTTCCACTTTAACCCCTTCGAGTCCGGCGGCAGCTACCACTTTAAGTTCGAGTACAACTAAGGAGCAGGACTGGAGCCGCATGTTCAGACTAATCTGCTCTTTTAGTCACATAAACTTGTTTTATTACTAAGGAACCTCGGGATGAATTTCAACGTTTTTCACCTGCTTTAAAGGTGGATGAAGGAAGTTAAAAGGTTTTTGGATGAAAACTGTGGATGTCTCTGCTCATGTTTCTTTCTTCGTGCCAATCTCTGGGCCTCGTATGGAGGAAGAAGGTCAACGTGCCGCTTTTTATTCTCGCCTGCAGTATTCTTTAAAGGAATCCCAGCTTTCCTAACTTCAGTCAACGTCCCACTGGGATGAAGCTTCTCTACAATTGAGAATCAAGACTTTTTCTAGTCGATGAAATGAAAAGCACTTTGAGCTCCTGGATTAACGATGAAACACTGAATTCCTTTGGATTTTCTATCTTGCTTTAAGGTAATTGTTCTTCTACGGGGTTCCTGTATAGGTTTGGAGATGTATATGTATGTATATATACAGAAGATAGAAAAATTGATGAATGAAAGCAGGAAGTGATTAAATCTGGTGTGTATTTTTGCTTTTCTGCTTTTTTTAAATTTTTTTTCGGATTGGAAAAAAACAAAAACACTCCACAGCTTCTCCTCTCCTTTAATTTACTTTAAGTCTTTTGACTCTCAAGCTTCATTGGCTATCAGCGAGCCTTATTTATAAGTAATAAACCTCGGCCAAAGCCGGAGCATCAATTTCAGTGCACTTATTGTTCGGATCATTTAGATATTTATCTAAAAAGTGAAATTAAATTGTTGCAGGACAGGTTTGTGATTTTATTTTGTCTGCAGCCAGATTTTGTTTATTTTGCTTATTTTTGCACCGCTTAAGTTATTTTGTTACCAACTCATCTTAAAGACAGACTGACTGTAGCTGCTTGTTTTGTGAACCAAAATGTGACGAGGTCGTCGTATTTATAGGTGAAAGGAACAGTGAGATTTATTTTAGGAGGGTTTTGATTGTGGCATCCTTTTTCTTCTTCTGCCAAACTGACTCAGCGGACATGTTGGAGTTTATTAAAGGACAAAAACCATCCAGACTGAACTCATTCTTCCTCCTCTGGTCCACTCCTAGAGTGTTCCACAGAAATGTGTTTAAAAGCAACAGAAAGTGTGGAATATTACCCCAGAGACTGATTTTAAACCAAAGAACACCAAAGCATGGAGGTGCACGCATCATTATATGGGGATGTTTCTCATACAGGCTATTTATGACATACCAGGGATCATAAATCAGTTTGATTAAATATGCCTTTAATCCAACAATAATTCAACTCAATCCTTAATCCAACAGAAAACACTTAGTTTTGTCAAACCTGCTGTTTTCTATTAAGAAATATTTTATATTGCGATATATGCACTGCTAACTGCTGCGAGGGGTCAGAGGACTCCACGATGCTTATCAGATGTAAAAACCTAATTGTTACTTCAGTGCTTCACAGAAAAACAGAATTTTTCAAGCATTTTCAGCTCATACAGTAAAGGTTTAAATTGATAAATCAGTTTTCCTAATGTTTTAATTAAGAAAACAATGTGGCATTTTGAATCAGTGATTTAAAAAGGTGAAATTGATCCATTTATTTTAAGATCCTTGAACAAATGGTGTCCTAAATGATCTCAGTCTGAAGAGGAGGCTTCCATAATTGCTGCCAATGGACTTTTCTTTTCATCGTCAGAGGAAAGAGAAAAATCTAGAGGTTCTGGGTCCAAAATCCTCTTCTCGTCTGAACACGGGCCTCAACAGGAAACAGTCTCTTGATCAAAAACGTGGGGCGGCGCTCCCGTCATCAGTGGGTGAATCCAAACCCCTCAGCCTCCTCCAGACTGTCAGCCTCCACCTCTATGGAAACCACGTGGTGTCCGGGGATCATGGCCAGGCCCAGGACTCTGGGTTCACCCTGGGAAAAAGTGTCTGAGGACAGAAAAACAACCCGCTTCAGAAACGCAGACCAACTTGCTTTTACCTTTAACCCACAAATACAGCTCTACCAATTAAAGAATGTTTTAGAATCTTCAGCTGAGGTAGATCTCAGCATCTTATGATGGAAAATAGACAAATAAGAAACAGCTGGCTAAAACACCAACCTAATAACTTCTCTCCTCTTTTGGAAAGTAAGTTAGAGCCAAAAGTATTTAATCAACTATTTGATTAATCACCTTCCTCCATTAGTTATTTAACAAGCATGTTTTAAACCCTCAGGTGAAAAACAAACTAATATGTTAGAAGTAAAAGAATAACAGATACAATAAAGGTTTATACACCCTTAACTCGTCTATCCATTATTTTAGTAATAGATAAATCTAAAAAGAGATACTTTTTTTTAACTTTGCATTGGTAAATAAATGTTTGCAGATTTTAAAAAAGCATATATTTTACATTTTAAGTGAATTGTAAATGTCCAAAAAAAAAAAAAAAACATTAACTAAAGGCACATATCCATATATATATAATATATATTAATCTTGGAAACTTTCAAGATTAAATATCTTGTCGTTTTGCCTTAATTACTGCTGTAAGCAGGTTTCTTCTTTCAGCGGCTGACATGTTTTAGAGTCTGTGTATAATTAATGTAGGTAACAATTTGATTTCTAAATTAGTTTACAAGTATTCATATATTTTATTAATTGTTTCAGCCCTAGACTTATCCTCCATTGAGGTTTCTGTTAACTTCAGTTTTCTTTAGTAGCAGTCCATCTGCTGATGCCAAAAAAGCCTCTTAGGTTGTGAGATCATCTTTCCTCCACATATCGCTCTCTGTAGATAAACACCGGATATTTTCAGCCATTTTGAACCCAGCTTAAATGTTTTCATTAGAAGAATATAATTTCACTCCTTGTCCAGGTGAAATAGAGAATAGATGGGATGGTTTTCACACGTAGAGCACGATCACTACCAGCTGGAAATACATCTTTTTGTAACGTCCCAAAGTTTTTTTTATTTACTAAAATAAATGTACCACACTGTGTTTATGAAACTTTAAAAAGTTTTGCTCCTCATCCTAGACTGATTGATTCTTTAAATTCTTTCTGCAAAATACAACCTTAGCTAAAAGATACAAAAAAGGTTTTAAAGGTTAATCAGATTAAAGTATAATTAAGAGCAGGTGTGAACTCAAGATGACTCGATGGTAAGAGATGAGGAGGAAGGTTGTGCTTAATTATGCAACCAGGTAATGAGAGCTTTTTGTTTTGTTCACATATCTTCCCTGACAGATTTATTTGTGTCACTGATTGTTGAAAAAAAAAAATTATTTTGATAAATCATCCCTATATTTCTTATATCATAAAAAGATTTTTTTTTTTTTTTTACAGCAGCCTGAAAACTTTAGCTTTAAAAGCCAGTGGTCCGTGTCTTTAAATGTCCATTTTAAACTTATTCTCTTTGATGTTTCTTATTATCCTTTTTTTTAAATATATATATATATATATTTACATATAAATATACATATATAAATAAAAAAAAATAGGAGTAGTAAACTGATCCATTGCTCTCCTTCCCCTCCTGTCCTACCTGAGGATTTGAGGAACTCCTGAGCCGAGCCCAGAATGACATTGCAGTCCCGGTCTGTGCAAAGGAAGAGCCCCACCAGGGTCCGTCCGTCCGTCATGCGGATCCTCATGTTCTTGTTCAAGAGCCCCTCCAGCTTCTGCCTGGCCTGGGACGAGGGGGACACTTCAGACTGCTCCTAGATGAGAGGACAACAAAGGTTTCAGATCACACTGATTCTGTATGAGAACCACTCCCCCATGAATATATATTAATATAGTTATAATATATCAAAACAAAATATATTTTTGATTAATAGATAATAATAATTGGGTAAATCATGGAGTATATTAAAATAATAATGACAGTATATCTTAATAAGAAATTTCTAAATTATTATGACAGTGTCTCAAAAAGAGAAATAGTAACATATATTTATGATTAAAGTAGTTAACAAGATACCTATAAATGATAACATGCATTATAATGACAACCAAGTATCGTGGTTGTCTCTAATAATGACAGCATCTCATGTGTTTACTATGACCTGCAAGCCTTTATGAGGTAATAATTATTTATTCTAACAGTTGTCTCATAAATATGAGATGAAGCTTTATTTTTATTCCACCGCAGAGGCAGAAAAAGGCTTTATTGTTATGATATAACCTACTTCAATCTTCAAAATCAGCAAATCGAACTTTTAAAATATTAAATGATTACATTTGGTAGGAGCAGCACGTGGCCAAAAACTATTAGTAATCATTGTGATGAGGTTTCGACAGTTTTAGTAAATCTAAACTAAAACCCACGAGATTGTTACAGTAAAAAAACAGATGAACGAGCTAATATGTTAGCCGCAAGCTAATGTTTATCTCGACCTGGACTCCTAAAAAAGCTGTTTTTTTTTTCAAATCAAATATATTTATTTCTCAGACTTTACGCTTTGGATTTAGAATAAACGACTCAAAAATATGAGAGAGAGAGACACCTACATGTGCAGAAGGACCGTTTTCTTCAATCATTGTAGGTTTTTTTTCCTTCTGATGCTGTTGCTCAGGGAGCACTTCCGCTGACGTAGAGGCGAAACCGGAAATGATAAGAGCTTTATATTAGACGTATTTTCAGATTAAAGGTTGGTTGGATGGATGGATGGATGGATGGATGGATGGATGGATGGATGGATGGATGGATGGATGGATGGATGGATGGATGGATGGATGGATCTACATGTAATGTGCTCTCTTCATCCTCTGACATGGGAGCTGGCTCAGAGCTCCTCTGCCTGGCTGTGTGTTTCCTGGACGGAGCCGCCTTTTACAGTTGCTTTCTGTATTTCTGCTTCTGCCTCTTTGAACCCCAGTCGGCCTCGGCAGATGGCCGCTCACACTGAGTCTGGTTCTGCTGGAGGTTTCTTCCTGTTAAAAGGGAGTTTTTCCTCTCTACAGTCACTAAAGCATGCTTAGTGTGAGGGATTGCATTCCAGTCAATGAGTCAATGCAATCAACTGGTTTTCCTTAGCTAGAAAACGTTGAATCAATTTGACTGTATGATCTGGTTGAACTGTAAAGTGCCTTGAGATGACTTCTTTTGAATTGGCACTATATAAATAAACTGAATTGAATTGAACAAATTTAATAATCAATTGTTAACTGAAGTATAGAGACTCTGAAACATGCGTTTAGCTTACAGAGCAACCCACTTAGAGCTGTCATAAATATCAAATTGTAAAAACAATATGTAAATATTTATCATTTAAGATAAAAAAAAAATGTCTGTCAATATGCTCTATCCAGAACTTCTCAAATGGAAATGTTTGAGTTTCACCTGGTTTAATTTAGTGAAAAATCTTCTTTATGCAACCTCTGTCTATTTGATTATTAATCGATTAATCTAATAGATGGATGGATGGATCTTTGACAGGGATAAAAGCCATTAAAACTCCTCACTCTCATTTGAACTGCAAAAACTTCAATTACTTCAATAAGATAACATTTTTCAGTAAGTTTTGAATATACAAATATCAATCACCAGTAAACAATGATTGTCTCTATATTATTGACTGTGAAGCCCCATCACCTGGTCTGATAAGAAATTCCATTTGTAAAAATTCAGCATTTTTCATGTTATTCCTTATTTATCATACACAGAGGGAGATACTCTTGTTTATTATTTGACTATAATCATAGAAGAAATCATCAACGTATGTTGTCATTTTTAGGTTGGTATTTACTTTATTCAAAATAAGCTAGTTTGTCAAATTTCTTTACAAAATAAAACAGTGTGATAACTATAATTTAAAGTGTCTGATTCAATTATATTCCTCTAGGGGGCGTCCTAATTCAAATAAAGCAGTTTAACAATGCAGTGGATCTCACATCCATTTTTAAATGTAAAATATTACCAAAGTAATAGAGTATAGAAAAATATGAAATAATTCTATCTCTATTAGAATATATGTGTTGATATTGTAGCCACACATGACCATGTATACACAAACATACCCAAGTATGGCTTCTAATTTAAATAGTTTAAATTAAGAACTTGTATAGTGATAGACGGGCAGAACTGGGTAAGATATGGCTTCTTTCTGCTCTCTTTCGAACATCTTGAGATTTGTTCACAAAATCTTTTGTTTCGTGTTTTAAACTGTTATTTACTTTTATTTTGTAATTGCTGCACATGTAAACATGTGTGTGTATATATAGGCTTACACATATGTGTGTTTTCTTTTATATTATGTTTTCCTGTTCGAAATAAAGAATAAGAATATTTCCTCTGTCAGAAAAAATGTTCTAATATTTCTCATTGATCCCACTTAGGGTCCTTGATCAAGCAGCATGGGGTCTTAGGATCCACTGGAGCACGTAAAAGAAGCACGTAAAAGAAGCAATGATCAATTAAAGTAATTAAAGAAAAGAAAGCACATCTTCAAAACTGACGATACAAACTTATTTGGTTATTAAAATGTAATAATACACTTTTGTCAAAGCGGTATCATTATTTGGGACAGAAGCTGAAACATTTGGGAATCTATGGTGTAGCACATGTGAGCTGTGATAATAGCTTTAGTGTCTAACTTACAGTTTGTTTTTAACTGAAATCTTCCCAAACTCCACACTAGTGCCCTTCAGCCATATTTTTATATTCTCTGATCAGCTGACAAGAAATAAACCGTAAACACCCCTTTCCTCTTCAAAAGCAGATATATGATTCAAATAAGATTCCCTCTCAATGAAGCAATATAAGAAACAATCTAAACAAAAAACAATTATATTTGTTAATTAATTGCTTATGGGTATTGTTTTTTTCTTATTATTGTTTTAATTCCAGACTTCAGAGACACAAATGTTTTTTGTTTTTTTAAATATATTAACCCTGCAGCAAAGAAAGGAAAAGACCTTGTAAAAATGCCTGCTTTGCTTGGAAATAAAGCCTTATTATCCAGAGAGAAATGAGCCCTGTGACTGTATGTGCTGACAGGCCCCTCAAAGACAAAATAAAGAGCAACAAAGTAAAGCCAAAATTAAACATTTCCAAACACTCTCAAGGACAAACACAGATTTTATTTTTTCATCAAAAGTGAAGCAGCTTGGTATACTACTGAAAGGGACAAATAGAAAAAGTCTCCAAGCCTCGGTGCAGTAGTGGCAGCATTCTTTTATACAGTGTTTTGATGCACTAAGTAGATTTCATGATGAGGACAGAACAGCCATCCATCTTCTACCGCTGGTTGTCAGGGACATGGTGGGGTTGATACCTATCTCTAGAAATCTTTGGGCAAAAAGTGAGATAAAACCCTGGAGGGGTCAGGAATCCATTTCAGGGAAACACTACAAACACACACTGATGATTTAGAGTCATCTATCAACAAAAAGTGATGTGTCTGGACTGTGGGAGGAAGCTAGAATACCCAGAGTGAAGCCATAAAACAGGCGGAGAACATCCAAACCACCTGTGCCACTGTGTAACCAAGGAAAGTTTAGAGAACAGAGTTTAGATCAGGGCTCCTTAACCTTGGTCCCAAGGGCCCACTATCCTACATATTTTATCTGTTTCCCGCCTCCACACACCTGACCTGAAGGTGAAGTGGGGAGTGCAACACTCTTTATGTGTGTGCGCAACATCTTTTGTGTGCAACACGCTTTATGTGTGTGCAATATGGTTTATGTATGTGTGCAATATGCTTTATTTGTATGCAATATGTGTGTGCAACATGCTTTATGTGTGTGCAACATGCTTTATTTGTATGCAACTTACTTTATGTGTGTGTGCAATAATCGTTATGTGCGTGCAACATGCTTTATGTGTATGTGCAACATGCGTTATGTGTGAGTAACCTGCTTTATGTGTGTGCAACATGCTTTATGTGTATGCAACATTTTGGCAGAAAATTCACTCCATAAAAAGCGGATCAACAGGCTTTTGGGAGCATTTGATGGCTGTCGAGGAGGTAATGAAATCATTTGAATCAGGTGTGCTTGAATGGAGATGTGTCTGAAACATGGGGAGCAGGGTTAAGAAATCCCGGTTTAGATGGTGTGTGTGATAGAAAACGTGGCCTACAAACCCGACCCATTTAGGAATTGGCCTAAAATTTGAGAAACTGTTGATGACAATGAAAACAAAAAATATTTAAACTCCTGACTTTGAAGAAAGAAATGAATACATATCCAAATATTTACCTTTTTTTTTGGTCAAAGTTATCCCTCTTTTGTGACTCTCTTGCTCACCCCTGGCTGAATGAATTTTATTAAAATAGACCACTGATCTAATTCCTCATTCAGAAAGGGTCACAGCTAAAACCAATATGCTGTGATTCGCCTCACTGAAAGGTTTTCAGGTAAGGAGTTCCCCCTCCGACTTGCTCTCCATTCTTTCCCTGGCTGTTATTTAAGCTCTATCTGCTGGCAGGGCTGCCTGGGTTCAGACAGACAGCTCTGAGCGGAGTACAGGAGCCGGCGTCTTCCTCTGTGTCACACTGCATAAAATCTGGGTTAGCTGGAGCGCAGCACCCAGGGGAGCCACTTTCTCTCTCTCATCCCTGACACGTCTTCCTGCCAAATGGACAAGGGAGGCATTGGAAGAGGAGGAGGAGGCCTGTGGCTCTCAGCTTCCTGCCCGGTTTCATCTCCCCTCTCTTTTTATTCTCCAGTCACATAGCGGGACACATGCACAGTTATGACTGCAGATAATGTGGGTGAGGGTGTACAAGCTGCACACTAAGCGAGGTCGTCTCGCCAGCCTCTCAGTCTGGCACTCGCTGACACCTCAGCGGCCAGGGCCTCTGTGTGTGAGGCCCCCACATCACACGTACACTGCTCTCCTAGTGTCTCTCGCTGTGCACATTTCTCGCTGTCTTGGCAGATGTTGGGCTTGGATCAGGCACAGACAAAATTCCTCCCCTCTCGTTTGCTGCAGCCCAGTCAGAGCGTCTCAGGCACCTGTTGCTGCACACCAGGCGGAAATGAGCAGGTTGTCTTCTGGATGCCGGAGCAGCTGGCTTTGGATGGATGGTGGAAAGGTCTTAGGGTCACATCTCAGCATTCCTGCTCCTGTTTAAACTACCCAGGGGACCTCAGGCCGACTGCTTACCTACATCAAGGTTTTTGATAGATTATTGACCCCATGTGACCTCTGGTCTCTGGCTTTTGACAGATGTTGGGGAACTCTGCAGTGAGATTCACCGCACATTCACCTGGAAACAGATCTAATCTAAGAGATATGGAATTTGCAATTAGATCTTTCAGACAAAATGTTTCAAAGCAGATTGTTGTGGTCATTTTAACATTATCCCTTGATCATTCTGATTTAGGCCTGTTTAAACTGTCAAAAACTCACCTTTTATAATGTAATTTTAACAGAAAAAATGTATTTATGCTGCTTTTTTAAACAAGGGGAAAAAATAGGATTTTCCATTTTTTGTGACAGAGCATAAGCTTTTTCTGTTGTTGTCATCAGTTGAAAAATGTATTTTAATCTTACTGTTAAATCAACAAAAGTTTCACTCTTGCTCTGAGATCTTGGCTCCGTGAGAGAGGCCCATAGTAACTCTAGACGAGCTGTGACACATGGTGGTGGCAGTATCATATGTGCAGAGGGATTTTTTTTTTTCAGAGATGCTTGGAGTTTGTGTTAGAATGGATGGAGCTTTATATCAGAAATAAAACAGGTAAGAGGCTGAAGAACATTTGACATAAAACAAAGGTTAACCTTCCAGCAAAATATTGATAATTTGAATGTGACATGGAGCTATACATTTAGAGCAGGGCTCTTCAATATTTTCCAGGCTAAGGACCCCCAAACTGATGACGAGCTGGAGCAGGGACCCCCAATTAAATATATATTATGAAATTGTGTTATATCAAACTGGTCCTATAGTTACTCTATTACATATGGAGTCGTGTAACGAAAGTAATTTCTCCCTAGGATTATTAAAGTATTTCTGATTCTGATTCCTGGTTGATGGGACAGGTGTTGTGGATGAAACGGTGCCCAGCTTGAAAGAGCTCCATTGTGTCGCTGAATGTGTGCATTGATGACTGAAACACATCTTCTGCCTCCATTTATCTGTTTACTACAGTGTGTTGAATTCATGTTAATGTGTATTTAAAGACATTTCAATTATTGGAAAAAATTGTAGGGAGGAATATAAAAAAGTTTAATCAACCAAACCTTTCTGGACCCCCATGCAGTACCTGAGGACCCCCTTGAGGTTGAGGACCCCCAGTTGAAGACCTCTGCTTTAGAGGTATTTATCAAAGTCAAGACTTAAATCAATGTGTGAGAAGTATTGAAAATGTGTTTATGGACAATTTCTATTCAATCTGTCAGAGTTTAAGCTTGTTTGCAATGAACAGTGGACAAAGACAGGTCTCTATGTACAAAGATTTGAAGCTGCAGCTGCAGCTAGAGGTGGCTCTGAAGTGTAAAGGCTATACTACTTTTTGAAGTGAGGTGTTGGCCTAGTGGTTAGAGCAGCTTGTGCTCTGAGAAGGTTGCAAGTACCAGGTTCAATCCCTACAGCCTGCACTCTGGGTCCCTGAGCAAGACCCTTAACCACACACTGCTCCCTGGACGCCACACAATGGCAGCCCACTGCTCCCCAAGGGGATGGGTAACATGCATTTTATTGCTCTGTACTTGTTACATTGTAATGACAATGAAACACTGGAAAAGGAACAAAAAAGATAAAGCTCTATAAATCCACTTAGGTTCAACATCCAGACATGCTTTTCTTGCATGGGAAGTCAAAAACAATATTTTATTAATAAGAAAAGAAAAAAAAATGCCTTGGGCAGCAGCAGCAGCCACTGAAGGGGGGGGGGGGATGCTGTGTGGGGAGGGATTCCCATGGCCTTACTGCCATCCAGCTGACACATCCCTCTGCTAATGAGAGTTCAGATTTACAGCTCAGAAACCATGTCTGTGTCAGACCTCTGCATTACCTCACATTTTAGCACCCCGCCATGCTCACTGCGGCCCTGGGTCAGAGGGAAAACAGGAGTTATGCTTCTCATCAAAACACTTCAATCCCCACCACAAGTGGTTAATTTTTAAGCAATACAATCTGATGTAAGTCTGGGCATGGCTGCGGCAGATTTTTTTTCCAACCCTCCCTCCCCTTTCTCTCTCTCTCTCTTTGGATCCCTCCCCAGCACTCACTCATAGAATCGAGCGCGCGCACATGCACGCACCCGCTCCTCCAAAATATATTTTATCATATCCAGCGGTGCTAAAGGAGAATATGTTTGATTTATTGGTGTCGGGCTCTGCAATGCAGCCGGTGTGAGATCTTGGATCCGGATTCGTGACTGATCCGGACCTGGGAGTGAGAAATTAGGCAGGGAGAGGGGGGGTTAGACCGAGAAGAAACAAACAAGTAACAATGTAACTTACATGCACTCACACACCCCTTTTTTTCTTGTAACAATGTGTACGTTTTTTAAAGAGGGAGGGGGGGGGCGCGGAGGGGAAGAGAGAGAGGGAGAGAGATAGATAGAGAAAAAGGGAGGGGGTGCGTTCTGAAATAATATAGTCAGCCATTTTTTATGTAAGGGGATTTTTTTTTCTTATTGGGGGGGTTGTTAAAAAATAAATATAAGAGGGCGGCCATCTTTGTTGCTCTGCCTTAGTGTAAAATATTCCAAAACGCCCCCCTACTTTTCTCCCGTGCCGATTTGAATATTAAATAAATAACACTCCATCCGCTGCAAGAATTACAGCTTTTTGTCTTATTAATTTTTTTTTAATGTTTTTTATTCAAACACTGCACACAAGGACGGAGGCGCCAATGACGGCAGGAATATAATAATGTCCTCTCCTCTCCGCTCTTGCGAGGAAGACGAGGGCATGGTGGTTAATTCCGAGGGAGGAGATTTTGATGAAGACGATGAGGACGACGGGGAGCTGGACGAGAACGCAAGCGACATAAACTCGCCGGCGGCACCTCGGGAAACTGCAACACCACCAGCCGCGCCAGGTACGGTAGACTAGCTGCTAAAAAAGAAAAAAAAAAGAAAGAGTGGGGGCGATAAAAGACAGCCGAACTATTAACCCGCTATTAATGCATACGGATTAATAAAAAAATCACTTTCAGTGCGGGATATAGTTCCCCTCTATTGTAATTTACAGAAGTAACCCGTTATCTGAGCTATCTCTATCCATGTCCAGGACTGTACAGTAGAGTAGCTCGGCTGCGCGCACGCTTGCGCGCACACACACACACAAGTAAAACGCAACACGAGATAGTTTGAAGCACCTACATGTCAAACTGGGTGCCATATTTGCAGCTGCTTATAAAGAAGAAGAGGAGGGACGGTAGAACTCCGGTTCTCTCCATCCACTTCCTCCTCACCTTTTCACCTCCCTGTAAAGTTTTAACCGAACTCGCCACAGCGAGCTCTCGCATCCATCCTACGGAAAGTTACAGTTACATCTCCTCTCACCACAACCGCCACCTCTTTCGCATGACAGCGGCTTTCTGACATGAGTGGGAGAGAGAGAGAGGGGGGACACATGCAAATGAAGACCGGAGGGATAATAAGGTCCTGAAGCTGCACACCAGTCAAGCAGAATAAAGAAACACATAACAAACATGGACTCCCCCGCCGGAGGCTATGTATTTGATACCCGAGGAGCTGGTTTTTGTAGTGCAGTCAAACGAGGAAGAAATTAAGCCACAATATCCTGTTATTAACAGCTCGAAATAAGGCTATCCTTCTGTTTATATGCTGCCTAACTCCATTTAGCAGTTTGAATTAACGACTAACGCAGCTTGTGTCTGACAGGCTGTGATTGACGGATGGAACCTGATCATTCTGGAACTTTCTCCTGTTAACTTGCACTTTGCACTGAACGTCAACTAACGGTCGCTATCTAAAGAAATTGGGGAGAAAAAAAACTATTGAGAATAAAATATTACTTTATTTGAATAAATGTATGTAAGTTTGGATGAAAAAAACAACACGTTAGGAGAAGGAATGCAGCCGGTTGGCTCTAATTTCATGAATGAATATAACGGAGCGGTCCTCCATTGCTTTTGTCTTTATCGCCGTTGAACCGTGTCAGACGGATAAATGAGTGCTCGTTTCAAAGACTTTAACCCGCTGACGACCTTTCAGCGGCCGCAGCGGTGGCCTCGGTCTCTCTACCATCAACAGAATCCCCCTTTGGGAATACAGGAGTCGTTCCAGTTCACTGCACCGGTGGGCCTCTCTCAATCACCGAGCCCCGCGTGCGTGCAGCGGCCGCCCCCAGGCGTTCCTTCGGCGGCCCGCGCTGCTGCACGTCTGGGCGAGAAGTGTGGAGGCTTGGGGGTGGAGGGGAGTGAGGAGGTGGAGGAGGGAGGCTGCTGCTGCGCACTAACAAAGGCGGGGGAGACAATAAAATCAGACAGAAACCTAGCTTATCAAATTGTGGCTGCGCTTCAACGCTTTGCTGCTTTCCTTTTCAAACAGAGGCAGCTATCTCCATCTGTTCTTCCTGCAGAAATAAACCCAGGTCGGTTTGTAGGCTAAAGTATAAACTGTGAGTGGTGGGATCATAGACATGTGGGCAGGATAGACAGACTTTATCATCATTTACTCCTTGAAAGGAAAGAAGAGATATTGTAATGTAATTTTCTAAGTTATGCTACACACAAATGTTAGTTTTTAATGAGAATTTCCTTCCTAAACAAAGTTTGATGGCTCCAGTTAGGCCAGATAAAATTTTTTACTACTCAAATTAAATAGATAAATACAAAAAAATAACAAATTGTGCCGAAAAATTTGTGCAAAAATAGCCCAAGCTCAGTCATTCTCCACAAAGATCCTCATAGACAAACTTTATTGTCATTTTGTATGCACAGAGTGTACACAAAACAAAACAATAGATTGGTAGCTTACAACAATGAAATTAAATTAACCATTTATAAAGTGCTGCAGTGATCAAGAATATAAACAGTGTAGGAGAAAAGAACAAAAAACTTTAAAAGTCGTGGTGTAAAAGGTGTTGCTATGGAAAGGTTCACTGCGGTGCAAAATAAATAAATATGGTGCAAAATGCAGTAGAAGATTTTTTGTTTTATTTAAAGGGATTATGAAAAAAATATATATCAGCCATGTTGGAAGTATATGATGTTTTCAGTCTTGATTTATAGTTTTAAAAGTTCAACAGTCTGATGGTAGAGAGGAAAAAGCTGTTGCAGAACCTGCTGGTCCTGCAGCGGATGCTGCAAAGCCTCCACCCAGAGGGCAGCAGGGACATGCAGCCCTGGGATGAAATGTCTTTAATGGAGGGAAGGTTTTTTGGGTTGGTCTAGACTTTCAGAGAGTTATTCTAACATATAGATATGCTCTTAATACTGTTTATTCCCTAGATTACTCTATATTTACATCCATTAGCATCTCCCCAATGGAATTGCTGAAGAAAAGCATTCTCACAACATGATGCTGCCACCACTATGCTTCACATTGCTCGTGGTTTATTCTGAGGGATTAGGCATGTTAGTTTTCTGACACTAGCATTTTACATGTCGACCAAAAGCGTTAACTTTTGAGGTAGGCACCTTGTTTTTTAGGGCTTCTGTCATCTACATGGCTACTGGTAAAGCAATATATTTTTTTTGCCACTCTTAGGTAAATATTGGTGTCTTTTTAATAGGTGAATGTTGTTGCTTGCACTTGATATCACCAATTGATATTGAGCTGAATGGGCTGAATACACTGCATGACCTTGGTTAGGGAGTGGCAGCCTAGTGGTGAGGGCATAGGGCTTTCAATCCTGAGATTGTGAGTTCGATCCCCCACTCCCACAGACTGCCACTCTGGGTCCCTGAGCAAGACCCTTAACCTCACACTGCTCCCCGGGCGCCTCACAATGGCAGCTCACTGCTCCCCAAAGGGATGGGTTAAATGCAGAGAAGTAATTTCCCTCTGGGATTATTAGAGTATATCAAAAAAAAAAAAAAAAAAAAAAATCCTCCTCAAATCTATTTATTTTTTAAATAATAAATGCAGGGATGTATGTAATTTTGGTAACTCTACAATATGCATGACATGTTCTGTCAAATAGAGTTGTGTTTTCTGGTTATTTTGTAATGCACCGTAAAGGTGATTACCACTGATAGCATCCTGGCTTGTTGTATCTGATACCACCTGTCAGATCTCCTTAAAGCTCCTTTTCCACACTAATTCAGCAAGTGTCACAGTTCAGATAAGGTCAGAGGTCACGGGGGGCCTCTGTGGGCTGTATCATTCAGTCTTTTGTTGGGAGTAATTAGGTTCATCTGGGATTAAGTGGTTTGTTTGGGATGCGTTTTGACAAGATTACCGGCTCAGTCCTAATAAGTGTTGTTCCTTTTAACGCCCTATCGAACCCAGACGACGACCCAGAGATATCAGACAGAGAGGTCCCGTGCAAGAAGAAGGGCCGGCCCAAGAAAAAGAAGGACGCAAAGAAGAAAGAAAAGGAGGGAAAGCCGATCAAAACAAAGAAACGCAAGAAGATCGTAAGTTTGACAGGTGACATGTATGGGTTTTTTTTCTTCCTTTTCGATGACCTGTTTGATCTTTTTTTTTTATTTCCCCATCTATCCCTCAGGACAGCGATGTAGAACGAATTTCTGACAGAGAAAGAGACTATGGGGAAAACTCAGACAGCGTGGCCAGCGACTATGGCTCTGGTGAGAAAAAGAAAAAGAAGAAACACAAAGAAAGGAAGGAGAAGAAAACCAAGAAAAAGAAAAAGGATGACGGGGACCGAGACAGCAGCCAGGAGGAAACGACAAAGGTAAAAGATGCTCTTCGCCTCTCTTTCCGTCGGTGATTTGTCCTCGGAAAGAGAGAAATAATTCCTCGCCTGATTGGTGGTCACTCCTCAGCAGCCGATAGAGCAGAAAACGTCTGCCCAGCTGGCAAAGGAGTGGGGTCTGGAGGATGTTGATCATACCTTCACAGAGGACGACTACAGGGAGCTCACAAACTATAAAGCCTTCAGCCAGTTTATGAGGTATGTATTCTTCCCTTCTTGTCTAGGATTAACTCCAAGCTGTTGGTTGCAACTGTGTGTGTAATCAAGAGCAGCGGATGTGCTTTGAGGGAGTTATACAATATGCTTTCTCAGTTATGTTTGTTGATCATTTAAACTGCTTAAACCTCAACACCTCTCGCTCCTGATTTCATAGTCCTGAAATGTATCTCAAATTAACTCCATGAGTTGTATTGCATTGTTAGGAAAGCATTTCCTAAAATAATATTCATAGCTTATAGTTTAATAAATATAGGTTAAAAAAAGCTTCCTGTCTATCAATATTGACTATTGAATCTTTAAAAGCCGCTATAGTAAAATCAAAGTTGAAACGTTTCAACTGAGAGCAGCGTCTGTAAGTGTGCCCCAATCTAGCTGTGGCTACATTGTGGCTAGCCACTATGCACTAATGTTTAACTATTTCGCCCTATATAAGTGTTGAAGCATATATAATAAGTGTGTTATTCCAGCTCTGTCATGGTGTTAACTTTTTAACACTTTTTTTAAACTCCATCTCATGCGAATCAATATAGATTACATGCCCCAAAGCCCTTACTGCTGTAGTTTTAACGCTAGTTAAACTTAAGAAAACCTGTGTAACATCATCACAAGCAACTTTTTAATTTCTCTGACTTCAGCACACAGTTTGACAAAACTTTTATAGTTTTGGTCCATGTTTCTTCCAGCTTCCTTCTACAGTCTGAAATGATGACTATTAAGACAGATTTATGGTTGACATATCTACTGTCTAAGCCCCTAGGGAGTCCACGAGGGTACTGCATGGGGGTCGCAAAAGTTTTGGTTGATTAGACTTTTTTTTTAATATTCCCCCCTGCATTTTCTTCCGGTAATCGAAAGGACTTTAAATACACATTAACATGAATTCAACACACTGTAATGAACAGAAAAATGGAGGCAGAAGATGTCTTTCAGTCATCAATGCACACATTCAGTGATACACAGGAGCTCTTTCAAGCTGGTCACCGTTTCATTCACAACACCTGTCCCATCAACTAGGAATAAGAATCAGAAATACTTTAATAATCCCAGGGAGGAATTACTTTCATTACACGACTCCATATGTAATAGAGTGACTATAGGACCAGTTTGATATAACACAATTTCATACATTATATAATTAAGGGGTCCCCGCTCCATCTCGCCATCCGTTTGGGGGTCCTTGGCCTGGAAAACGTTGAAGACCCCTGGTCTAAGTATAACTGAGACATTGTCAGCAAAGGTTTTGCAGCATTATATACTCTATGCAGCTTATCTCCACTGTACCCAGTATTCTAGCCTAGTCTAGGGAGAAGTGTAAAGCACCGATCGCAAGCTTATAACACCATTACACTAGGGGTGAAGAAAAAAATCGATTTGAGCTCAAATCGCGTTTCTAACATTTAAAGATTCAGAATCGATTCTCATTTTCTTTAAAAACGATTTTTTTTTGTGGGTGCGGATGTGCCTTATCAGGCACCATAGTGTTTGGTGAAACCAATGAGCAGTGTTAGCTATGCACAGGCATGCAAGCGTTAGCCTAGCAGGCTACAGAGTGGTGTGTAGTGTTGTGTGAGCTACTGTGTTTGTTGCCGCAAAAGTATGGAGGATGAAGAAAAAGCAATTCAACCGCCTCCGCGGTCTTTAAAAGCAACCATTTGGAAACACTTTGGAGTTTACCTTCAACCCGGCCCGGGTAAGAAAGGGCTTGACATGACTCATGCGATTTGCAGAGATTGCAACGGCAAAGTTAAGTATTTCAGGAGTACTTCAAATCCCGGTTTTCATCACGAAAGACATCACCCACAGTTCTTGGTAGAATTGACCTTTCATGTTTACATTATTGCAATAGGTAAATAAAACATTAACAATTATAAAGTCTTTATAAATGTACTCTTCTTTCATGCCAGCAGACTGGAATAGATCCTGAGAAACGGTTTGGATCATAAATGAATCGTTTCTGAATCGAATCGTTTGGATTTAAAAGAATCGGAAAAAAATCTAATTTTGAACCCAAGAATCGATTCTAAATCGAATCGTGGGAATCCCAAAGATTCACAGCCCTACATTACACATAGATGAAGAAAACCCAGTTGGTTCCAACATTTCAGTAGTTCTTCAAAAGCTGTTAACCGTGGTGGTGGCAGTCATGAGATGTCTGAAGATGTCTACCTTCCCCGGTAGGAGCTTTTGCTCATCTGCCGTGTTTTTCCACATGAAACTGTCCTGGTAGTTAGAAATTTTCAAGGTGGGCAATGCAGGAAAATCAGGTCCTAGTTAAAGCCACACAGAGGGGGGTAGGGAAGGTGAAATGACTCAATTCGAATGCATATCTCATGGGCGGGTATAAACCTTGCATAAACCAGCCGTAACCAGGGGGTTCTAAACTGCACAAATGTGTGTATGCAAACAATTAATCAATTTAAAATACATTTTTTCATGAATGGTTTATTAGATTAGAATTTTTTCCATCCGATTAAATGATAATCACTGCTCAAAAGCATGAAAGAGGATTATGTGGTGGTAGATGTGTCCGATTGCTGTTTGTGTGTTGTTGAATTGTGCACATGTGTCAGTTCCCCCTTCCTTCGCAAAAGTCCTCTACTCTGGAAACACCAAAAAAAGTTCACCTCACCCATTTCTAATGATCTCCAATCAAATCGTTCTGTATACGCGGTAAAGGGAAAAACATTAACTACTAAGACAATGTATCTTTCCATGCACCTGTTAATGGGTGACTTATTAAGGTAGACTAATAAACTCAAAATTGCCTGCATCAAACAGCAGCATATAAATTCAGAGCTAATAACTTGAATGATGTAAAGTATTTAAAAAAAAAGAAAAAGAAAATAATAAAAAATGACAAAATGAATAAAAGAAAAATCCTAAAAAAACAACAAAAAAGGAATTATACTTTTCATGAACAGTGGTGCTTGCAAATACCTGCTCATAGGAAATGACGTCAGTCAGTGTGTTTAAATATATCTGCTAAATATATCTTAGCAGCTCTGAGCCCAGCAGGCGGTTGCTCGGCTCTGTTTATAAATTTACTAAAAATAACTGCTCTGACTTTGCAGGAAGGAGTTATATTGACATATTTAGTCTAATTACAAAGCATCGCTGATCACAATGTGGCCAAATAAGAGCTGTGCTTATATTCTGATTGACCGCTTGTCCTCTTTATAGAAACTGTGTGATCTTGTTAGTTTGGTCAGGGTCACATGACATGGCTTGGATACTTTGATTGCTTTGTGTTGTGGCGGCACATGGCAGTCACACCAAACATTCAAAATTAGATTGATTCATGAAACTTAAGTGTGACAACCCAGATATGATGGGGATTCTTTTGTTTTTTTTATAGCTAGTGTGAATTTTACCCAGCTAAATGGATAAACCAGCATAGAGCCACAGAACTAGATTACATATGGTTTGAGTTGCTGCATCTTAATGGTGTTTTTCTCTCTCTTTCTTATTTTTTAAACCCCAGGCCAATGATAGCCAAAAAGAACCCGAAAATCCCCATGTCGAAGATGATGACCATCCTCGGGGCCAAGTGGAGGGAGTTCAGCTCTAACAACCCCTTCAAGGGCAACGCCGCTGCCGTCGCAGCCGCAGCTGCCGCCGCCGCCATTGCTGTTGCCGAGCAGGTCTCTGCAGCGACCGCCTCGCCCGAACCACCGCCTCAGCCGCCACCCATTAGAAAGGCCAAGACGAAAGAGGGCAAAGGTCAGCTATAGCTTAGATCTTCTTTAGTCTGAAGTGTTGCTTTATCGTGTAAAATGTTTAGAAGTAAAGAAATAATCTAGTTTGTGTTGCATTGCATTTATTACATTTATCCCATTGTGACTGGCCTTATTATCCGTGCAGGTCCTGGATATAAAAAGCGTAGTAAAAGTCCTCGAGTCCCCGACAAGAAGAAAGCCATTGCTAAGGCTAAAAAGATGGCCCCCATTCGTATTAAACTATTACCTATAGCTGGGAAGAGGAAAAAGAGCTGCTCTGTGAGTACCGTGTTTATATTCTGCTTGAGTGATGATACATATTCCCTTAGTGTGTTAATAACCTCATCGCTTGGCCTCTTGTTGTTTTCACCTGCTCTGTCAGAGCGAGGACATCGATGAGGACGAGTCTGAGCAGGAGGACTCCAGCGTTCACAGCTCCTCTGTTCGTTCCGACAGCTCTGGAAGGGTAAAAAAGAACAAACGGGGACGGCCCGCCAAGAAGAAGAAGAAAAGTAAGAACAAAACAGATTATAAAACATATAAAATGTTGTAGGTATGATGAGTTTTCAGGGATTTTATGCAATCTGTGATATTATAACTAATTTTCTTCAAGGTCCACGCTCGTTTAAAGGTTTCTCTGTAGTTTTTAGTCTCGCTACAGTTTCCTACAGCCCTGCTAATAAGATAGCAGAGGGACACAGCAGTGCCTCTCCCCCACCTGTTGCTGTGCCCGACTGGCTACAATAGGCAACATTTCAAAGAACAATGGCGACGCACAGAGCTTAAATAGTTTAAAACGGAACGCTGTTTTTTTTTTATATTGGCCCCTTGATTTTACGTTATTACATCATGTTCTACTCACCCATATAAGTTTTGTGTCATTTGGAGCTGTTCTGAAGATATTCCGTTAGGTTAGATCCAAGTAACGTCTTCCTATGGGCAACGACTTGAAGGCACAAACTAAACTGTTCATAATTTATCATTTATGGTACACGAGCATTCATAACCTGTAGGCGAATCACTGTCCCCCAGACATCTGCGGTTATATTTTTTATATTTATATTTTTTAAGACAAAGCAGAGTGTGTATGACGTGATAAGAGTGTATGAGAGTGATAAGATTAGGGTTAACTGTGAATATACCAGCATTGTTTGGGAAATTAAAACCAGAGTAGAAAGATTTCAAATCTCTTGGTTCCGTTTTCCCGTGTGAACTGGATCTTTTCTTTTACGATCCTGTCATAGCGCAATTTCTCCTTATAGCCCACATCCTCTACGCTGCCATGTTGCCAGATTTACCTCAGATTAGTTATCTGTAGATGTCACTACCCAATCCCTACACGACCCCTACCATCAGCTCATTTACGCATGAGCAACCAGATATTCATCCAGGTTGCCATAAATAATATGATCATTGCACTAAAAGTACTTATTTCTATCCTTAACTCACTTAAGAATGCTAATACACATCTTTAAAACATTGTTTATGACTTTTCTGATACAATTTTAGTACTTTTTACATTTTCTTCGTTATATTGCTTGTCTGACGTCATTATCAGACATGCTCACAGTCGTCCGGCAAAATATGAATAAAACCATATTTATTTATTTTTTTTAGTTTCTTTAGATTTTTTTTCTTTAGATTACGCAATTTATATACGGTAAGTTTAATACAAAAGGAAAAAATCAAACATAATTTAGGTTTTTTTTGCAAAAGAAAATGGAGGGCGACCCAGAGGTATATCTGGTTGCGAATGCGCAAATGAGCTGATGGTATGGATGGTGCTTCCGGTACGGATCGGGTAGTGACAATGGATGCATGGAGCTTTTTTTTTTTCTTTGTGTATTTCCGTGGCATTCTCACAGCGCCACCTGTGGGCCCGGCATACACACTACAGCATCTTCCGTGGCGCTGCATACACTCCCCTCTACGCTCATTTCTTCCAAATTGACATTGTATTTATCTCTGTGTGGGCGGGGCTACCCTTCAGGGGAGTCACACGTACCTGATGGCTGGTCCTTTTAATGTATCCCTGTACAGACTGCATTCAAATCGCCAGACTTTTGCTGAAACAATTGCTAAAGACCACCTCTGAAGATGGAGGAAAGTGAATTGCTTTTAACATTTCTTGAGTTTGTTAAAATTTGTATTATTGGGAACAAAAAACGATGTTTTCTGCCTGCATCTTGGGATGAAAGTACTTTCCACTGTTTTTTCAGCAGTCATACAGTTTTTATGCCCTCGTTGCCTCTATTTGGATCTGTAAACTTTAAATGATTATATTATTTTCAGGGTTTCCAAGGGTCATTAAAAATCATTAAATTTCATTAAATTAGAATTTTTTAAATCAAGGCCTTAATTGGCATTAAAATTCATTAAATGTGTTTATTGTGGCATTTTAAATGCCTTTTTTTTTATAATTGTTTATAAAAAACTATTTCATCAAACATATTATATCACAATATATTTGTGTGGAACTGCTTCCGTTTGATCGCGAAGCCGTATGTTCAGAAAAAGCTAGAGAATGGGGGGAAAAATGCCAATTTCAACAAAAGTGGCTGGAAAACGAGGAATTCGAGACATGCCTGCAGCCTGTCGATGGGTACCTTTCATTTATTTATTTAGTTATTTTATTTTATTTTTTCCTACTTGCCTTGATTCTGTTTTATTTTAATAATTTTTTAGTGATGTAAAGCACTTTGCATTGTCTTTGTACCGATTTGTGCTATACAAATGAACTTGCCTTGCCTTGCCTTAGCTGTTGGTGGCATTAAAATGATTTCTAAGAGCATTAAAAATCATTAAGTTACAGTTGTTCATTCCTGTATAAATCCTGATTTTGTTCATCAGTGACTAGTAGAAAAAATAGAGAGCTTATCTTTGCAGAATTACTATAGTTTATTTTCATTGAAATAATTTGGACATTTAAGTGCTTGAAATCTTCCAAGTTCAACATTATTTCAACCATCAACATTATTTCAACCATCAATGAGTGCTTTATTCGCTCATATGTTAACGTTTTCTATGTTTTTATTTTTTTTTACTAATTGCCTGCCAATCTGTGGTTTGTTTCCTTTGTGTTTTTACCAAATGTTTCTGTTAAAAAGTCCTTTTCTTGCCATTTTCTTTCACGCCTGATCTAAAAAGAGGTATGGGAGAAATAAAAGGGTTTTTTAGGGCTTTATTTATTATGGATTCATTTTAACACAAGCACTGGTGAATAATCAGTTAGAAAATCAAATTGAGGAGGATTTTAAAAAGGAGGTCCACCTATTGAGGAGACTAAATAAAGGAACAACCTCTGTGTTAAAACACCCTAATATGTTGATTTTCAGGTGTATCTAAATGAATTCTAATAATATGGTTTGTTTTTCTGTTTCCAGTTCCAGGTGAGGAGGAAGGTGACGGCTATGAGACCGATCACCAGGACTACTGTGAGGTGTGTCAGCAGGGCGGCGAGATCATCCTGTGTGACACCTGTCCCCGAGCGTACCACCTTGTATGCCTTGAGCCAGAATTGGACAAGGCTCCCGAGGGCAAGTGGAGCTGCCCGCATTGTGTGAGTACAACTTGCAGAGAGGATCATCTGTCTTTATTCTCTATGCAGGATTCTGCTTTGGTATTTTTTTTTCCACCTCTAAGCTAATTTCCATTGAACAAGGAAAGTAGATAGGAAGGGACTCTAAATCATTGTTGCTTAACCCACTCTGGTATACAACACAAAAAAAGATATGCAAAATAGATAAAGCCATCTTTTGCAGCAACATAGTAGAGATAACAACGTCTGCTATGATTCGGTACCGGATGCATTCTGAAGATACTGATTTATATATATATATACAGTATATATATATATATATATATATATATATATAGTAAATGTGTAGCTATTTTCTTGTACATTAATTTGACTTAAATATGTTTTCTTGTTTTTTTCCGTTTTTCAAAGTGGCTGAAAAATATCGGCATCATTTCATATTTATTCTATTTCTATTTTAACAATTTCGCACCTACATGCATCTTTTCGCATCGCAGCCTGAAGCTCAGAATAAGCTGAAACACGCAGCTGGATGTAGATTGTATGATGGTGCTTATGTCAAAATCAAACAGTTAAGTTTTAAGGAAACTGCAGGGATAATAAACTACTTACTGTGGTTATGTGTGTTGGAAAACATGTAAAGTTTACTACAGTAAGAGCGTAGCATGAGATTTTAGACTCAATTGTCCCAGTTTAACCACATGGATACATATTTGCATTGAGGAGAACCATGCACATGTCCTCTGGCTTAGGGTTGCAGAAGGCAGGTGGTGTTTTTATTTATTTGTTGAGCATCCAGGATGGTTTGACATGAAGCATTGATCTATTTTTCCTGAGCTCCTTGCAGAGTCTTAAAGGCTGCAGTGAGGATCCACTGAATACTGCTCAAATTTACACCTTCATTTAGCCACAAGGGTCCTACCATCTCTGCTGCCAAGATAAAGAAATATATGTAAATACCTTTATTGTCCCACAGTGGGGAAACTAACTCTGCATTTAACCTCTTAACATCCACCTCATTTTGGGTAATCCTCGCCTATTTTACATAACCAAATGAAAAAGCAAATAACTTAAAAACTGTAAGCCCAAATTACATGTGCAATACATTATTTGAAAGCTAACACCCTCCAGTTTCCTAATATATAAATTAGAATAGGGTGAGTAAAACACAGACCAACCTGCATCAGTTCAAACATGACTCAAAGTTGTTTTTTCTTATTCTCGGAAATGATAGGTCTTTTTTGAACAGCAGTAATAAATACATTGTTGAGAAAAAGCAGGTTTTATTGCATTTTATTTGTTCTACACCATGTCAACCACAAATGCGGATAATTTCAGACCTCTAGCTATAACAGTTCCAGATCTGTGGGGATTGGAACTTTTGGTGTCAGCTTGGAGCTGAACGCAATGGCTCCACCTGCTGGAATTTTATGCATTCTGAGTTATTACCCCCACTTAAGAGGTTAACCCACCCTCTTGGGATGCTGCCATTGTGTGGTGCCCAGGGAGCAGTGTGGGGTTAAGGGTTTTTGCCCAGGTAACCAGAGTGGAGACTGAGGGGCACAAACGCTCTGCTCTAACCACTAGGCCATCACTCCCCCTGACACCAAATGACCCCAACTATGTATGATGTTTTTCATTGTTCATGCAGGAAAAAGAAGGAATTCAGTGGGAGGCAAAAGATGACGACTTTGAGGATTTTGAGGAGGACAGCGAGGACAGAGTGATATCCGAGGTCAGCATAGGGGTCCCCACCAGCACAGAGGAAGAGGAGGACGACCACATGGAGTTCTGCCGGGTGTGTAAGGACGGCGGAGAACTGCTGTGCTGCGACACGTGCACGTCCTCCTACCACATTCACTGTCTGAACCCTCCGCTGCCCGAGATCCCCAACGGCGAGTGGCTCTGTCCACGATGCACGGTCTGTCCACTCTGCATTAAATTAGCTTTTTTTTAATTGATTTATTTACACCACAAATCTGAGGAATTGTTAGGGGGGGAAAAACAGCATTTAGATCTGATTTGTTCAAATACTTCATCCCTGTAGTGTCCTCCTATCAAAGGAAGGGTTCAGAAGATCCTCCACTGGAAATGGGGCGAACCACCTCCTCCCATTCCTGTCCCACCGCCTCCAGACGCTCCTCCTGACGCCCCTCCGCCTCCGCCCATGAAGGGCAGAGCTGAGAGGGAGTTTTTCGTTAAGCTGACCAACCAATCATACTGGCACTGTACCTGGATCACTGAGCTGCAGGTAATATAACCCTAAAAACACCTTTAAGAGACACACATTTATCAGGATTTTTTTATTTCTTATTTTTATTACCTTTCATCCTTCAGCTGGAGATCTTCCACTCAGTGATGTACAGAAACTACCAGAGGAAGACGGATATGGACGAACCCCCCAGCCTGGATTACGGGTCGGGGGCAGAGGACGAGAACGGAGGGGGTAAGAGCGAGAAGAGACGGGCCAAAGATCCCCAGTACGCCCTGCTAGAGGAGAAGTACTACAAATACGGCATCAAACCGGAGTGGATGATGATTCATCGCATCATAAACCACAGGTACGAGTCATTAAAGCCTGTAAGAGGGCTGTGTATCTCTTTGTGGAACAAATGCTCACTGCCCTGCACGTGTCCCTCGTATCAGTGTGGACAAAAAGGGGATGTATCACTACCTGGTAAAGTGGAAAGATCTGACCTATGACCAGTGTACCTGGGAAAGAGATGACATGGATATACCTGAGTTTGAACTCCACAAAGCCAACTACTGGAGACACAGGTAGGAATCATGCTGAACACGCACTGCCAATGCTACGTGAAAGCACATTTCCACGGCCTGTTGTTTTGGTTCAACAGGGACAGCATCATGAAAGAAGACCCTGATAAACCCAGGAAGATGACGAGCAAAGAGGGAGACGGTGAAGAGGAGTCTCCTCCTTCCCCACTCACAGATGTAAGTCTGCCATCTGTTTAGTGTCCCTAAAACATGGCTGTTCTCTAAGCGTCTCTTAGTTGCTGTCACTTAATGCAAACAAGCCTTTTATAAACAGATTATAATAATATTAGGAGCCTCACCGACTGATTTAAAGCCAAATGAATACTTTGTTAAATATTGTAGTTGAATTGACTCAATGTTTTTATCGGCTCCAGCCAACCATCAAATATGAGGAGCAGCCTGACTTTGTGACAGCGACAGGCGGCACCTTGCATCTCTACCAGCTGGAGGGGCTCAACTGGCTTCGGTTCTCCTGGGCCCAGGGCACAGACACCATCCTGGCAGATGAAATGGGCCTCGGCAAAACCATCCAGACAATCGTCTTTCTCTACTCGCTATTTAAAGAGGTACAGATGATCAGCTATCCTATCACCTTAGCGGTACCGTAGGACACTAACGCTCTTCTCTGTGTTTCTTCAGGGTCACACTAAGGGTCCTTTCCTGGTCAGTGCGCCCCTTTCCACCATCATAAACTGGGAGAGAGAGTTTGAGATGTGGGCTCCCGATTTTTACGTGGTGACGTACACTGGAGACAAAGACAGCCGAGCTATCATCAGAGAGAACGAGTTCACATTCGATGACTCCATCAAAGCAGGAAAGAAAGCCTTCAAGCTGAAGGTGGGAAGGCGTTAAAAACTGGCTAACAACGGCGACGTCTTTCAGAGAACCACATGTTCATTCTTCTTCTGTTGTTTCCCTTGCTGCAGCGCGAGGCTCCCATTAAATTTCACGTCCTTCTCACCTCCTATGAGTTGGTGACTATAGATCAAACGGCACTGAAGTCCATCGACTGGGCGTGTCTGGTGGTGGATGAGGCTCATCGCCTAAAGAACAACCAGTCCAAGGTACCAGCCCTCAGTTTGTCCCTGTAGGGGCGGTCTGTATTAATCCACAAGTTATAAAGAAGTATTGTTTCTTCCGCTGTCATTCACTGCAAAGTAATAACATATGTTTGTCTTTTGTAGTTTTTCAGGCGTCTAAATGACTACAAAATTGACTACAAGCTGCTGCTGACAGGAACTCCTCTACAGAACAATCTGGAGGAGTTGTTCCACCTGCTCAACTTCCTCACACCCAATCGCTTTAAGTATGACTTCTTTGGTTCATTCATTTCTTTCTCTATCAGACATTTCATAAAGTGAGATATGATTGCCTCTTTTACACGGTGAAGCGTTTCCTCTATGCAGCAACCTTGAGGGCTTCCTGGAAGAGTTCGCCGACATCTCCAAAGAGGACCAGATCAAAAAACTTCACGACCTCCTGGGTCCTCACATGCTACGGAGACTCAAGGCCGACGTCTTCAAGAACATGCCCGCTAAGACCGAGCTGATCGTCAGAGTGGAGCTGAGCCCCATGCAGAAGTATGCGCCAGAAAACCCAGTTTACTTATTAAATGCAAAGGGGTGTAACAGCACCAAGCATTTACAGAACTGAAGTTGCTCACAGGTACAAGCAGTCAGATAAATGATATATCAATAACAGCAGAGTACACAGGTTTTTATGAGCTTTTTAGAAGTAATACAACTATGGCTGAAACAATTATTAATAAATTGTCGAAATAATCCTCAACTAATTTAGTAATCGATTAATCATTAACTGGAGTATAGAGGCTCTAAAATGTGCCTTTAGCTGACAGAAAAATCAAGTTAGAGCTACCCAAAACTACTCAAGTGGAAAAATTTAGTATCACCTGGTGTAATTCCATAAAAAATTTTCTTTAAGGAACCCTTTGCGGTCCAATTAATGGAAAAAATAATCGACTGATTAATCGGTTAGAAAAATAATCAGTTGCAGCAGTCATTGTGCAACACACTTCACACCAAACTAATGCAAAAGTGGATAGGTTTTTTTATTCAACGGTGATGGACGATGAATAAGACATAACTAGAGGTTATGGCAAGACATTTACATGATTTATTATTGCCCCATTTACACTACCCCTAGAAAATGATCTGAGTTTGGACAGAGCTTGGTTCATTTAACCATGCCAAGCTTGGTTCTTACAACCACTCACACATCACTAGCATGGTTGCTTGCCTACTATTGGCCGTCCACCATACTACAGCTCTCAAGGCGGGAATCACACAAACAAAAATGGTGCCGCCCATAACATTCAAGAACTTATGCGCATGGATAGCGTCCTCCACCCAATTTTCATCGAGAGCCTCAGTTTTAGCATCGTCCCAGGTAGCACCACGCTCTTTTGATGCCATTTATTGTTAATAGGCGGAGAAGAAGTCTGACAGGGTGAAAAGATCTGTGAATTACAAAGCAGACACGGCGAAAACCTGCGAAATGAGTGAGCTGTATGTAAATAGGAGATGATGCGGTCTGCTTATGCGCTCTTTGTTATCAGAGAACCGAGCCACCACTGATCCGTGCGGAGCCCATTTACACTACCTTTTTTAAACTGTGCCGAGATCGGTCCCAGCAACCGAGATAACTGTTGAGTGTAAATTGCACGCAAAAACTGAACCAGACAGTATCAGACCCAACTGAACCGCTCTAAACTGGTACTAGTTCATCAATAGGGCTCGGCACGGTTCTCAGATAACAAGAAGCGCATGAGCAGATCGAGTCCTCTCCTATTTACAGTCAGCTTCCAGTTGCTTGCCAACCGCCACAAAACAGAAGAAGAAGAACTGTAAACAATGGGCGGAGAACGCTATCCAGGCGATGTTGGACGGAACAAAACATGATCACAAAGTAGTACCGTAGATCGTCACTAGGAGGCGAGGATGTGTAAACAGTCATAAGGAACCGAGCTTGGCACCGTTAACTGATCCAAACTCAGTCCGATCTCGGCACTGATCAGTTTTCAGAGGGCTATTGTTGAACTAGTACTAGATTTAGCACGGTTCAGTTGCGTCTGGCATGGTCCAATTCCGTGCTCGGACTGTTTTCGGCACAGTTTCAAAAGAGCCTAATGGAATAAGTGAATTGCACATTGCAGACAGCGCCATGCATTATGGGTATTGCAAATATTTTGGCTACCAAGAAACAAAGTCCAGTGGATTTTAAAAAATTTTTCTTTTATTGGAAAGCAATGAAGAGATTATGATCTGGACCATTTCAGCTGCTGCAAAGCTGATGATTTGTAGCATTTTTTTTAGTCACCTTGGATTGCCTGTTACAACCAGGATTGTGTACTGACAATAGACAGAAACTGGCTGCCCTTTTATATGCTGCATCAGTACAGAAACTACTGCTGGTATAAAGGAAAAAGGAGGGAGATACTGTCAAAACTTTGTTTTACTGAACCATTCCCATAAAATATAAAAAGTGCTGTCAGTCACCTGTGATTTAATGTTAATATTATGAAAGGTGATCATTACTGCCCTGTAAAGGGATCTAAAGCACTACTTCAAGAACTTCTGACACATAATTCAGTTGAATTTTGACAAGCATGATGGGCGATATTGCAGACATAAATGCGTGAAAAGGACAAATGAACCACTTTAGAATTCAGGGTGGTTTCACGATATTGAACATAAAAATAAATGTGTGCAAGTTAGACTGGTTGGTTGGACTCTGGAGCCTTGCAATGGTGTTTTTTGCCATACTTTACGCTTATAACAACCAAACATAGCACAAAGCGCACCTGTCATATTTGTGTACGTCTCTTAAGGCTTAAAACCTCTAAACAAGTTTCTGTAAGACTTAACTTTCACAGTTCACTGCCTGTACTAGCATACATATTTCAGCGGTTGGGGTTGCCAAAGCTATTGACCGCGGTTGACCCAACAGGTGCAGAAGCGTTGTACACCTCGCTTATTTTCATAGGTATATCCCAACAAGAATATAATGAGGTTGAATTAAATCCCTGGATCTTAGGTTTCTTAGGATCTTTCAGTTTTCTTATCTCCGGTGTAGAACTTTATTGACAAAACATTTGACCAAATAAATAACTTTAAACAAAGCATCTCTACAAAGTTGACTTAGAAGTCATTTCAAAACAAAAAAGCTTTTAATTGGGCTATGAATAAAAATATAGAAGTTCAAATAAATATAGTTGAAGTAAAATATTCTGATGCAAGTTATTTTTCTTATTATTTGCGTATTTTAAAGGTATAGTGGAGGATGTTGTTTACTTAATGATGCTGCAACCTATGGACAGAACACAAAACAGTCTTCTGCTTGTTCTAGTAGTGCGCATAACTGACAAGGTTTTTTTTAATTTTTATTTTCCTTTATCTTGATTAATGCTTTAATTGTTTGCTAGGTCGGATCCATTTAACATGTATGCACTTCTGCAGAAATGGTATCTTCTAACCTGAAGTAAATTACTGAAAATAGGCTCCAGGCAAATAGATGCATCGGTGCTAAACTACTGAGGTGTCAATCTGCTCATCAAATAATGTTTTAGTCATAAAGGGTTAAATAAAAATACAATTTTAAAGATATTTTTCAGTAAAAACAAACAAAATATTGTTATTATTTTGTAATAAAAGAAGGTTCTCAAAGGGGATTATTTAATTGCAACTGGATCCTTTATTTTTTTATGTTTTTAAATAGAAAGCGGTTTAGTACAAAATAAGTCCTCTCACCCTGCAGCCTTCCTCACTAACATTGATGGTTATTATTTTTTTCTATTCCACTTTAAAACGGAAAATATACCAATCATTTGGCATTTGCTTGTTTTTTTTCCGCTCATCTGTGATTATTTTCCAATTAATGGCCTTGTCATCATGCTTTTAAACACAGGAAGTACTACAAGCTGATTCTGACCAAGAACTTTGAGGCTTTGAACTCCAAAGGAGGAGGAAACCAGGTGTCTCTGCTCAACATCATGATGGACCTGAAGAAGTGCTGCAACCACCCGTACCTCTTCCCCGTCGCCTCCATGGTGAGCGCAGAGACAAACACAAACAAACATGAGAGGAATTTATGCTAAATTCGAGCTGTTTACCCCTCCTAGAAACTAGAAGGTTAAAGCTGCTTGTTAAAATAACTAATAAACCTGTTAATGGCTCCACAGGGACATCTGGTGGTTATATATGTTACTGTTTCTTTCTAAGTTGAATTAGAACAGTGGGTATTTAGTTTCTCTTTTCTTACCTTTTTTAATTAAACATAATATTCTATATTATTGATTGTGTGTCTTTATGATAATTTTTATCCGTCTGGCTCCAAACATAAAAGTTAAACTTAACTTTTTAGACACATCTGAAAATGATATAATAACTTCATACTTGTGTCTGCAGGAAGCCCAGAAAACCCCCAGCGGAGCGTATGAGGGATCAGCCCTCACAAAGGCTTCTGGGAAACTGACGCTGCTGCAGAAGATGCTGAGGAAGCTGAAAGAACAAGGCCACAGAGTGCTGGTCTTCTCACAGGTAGCACACACACAGACCTGGTGATAAACATAAAGAAAAAACACAATAAACTGTTTGAGAATCACATTTTCTTTGTTTTTTTTTAGATGACTAAAATGCTGGATTTATTAGAAGATTTTCTGGACTATGAGGGTTACAAATATGAGAGAATCGACGGGGGCATCACAGGCGCTCTGAGACAAGAAGCCATAGACAGATTCAATGGTAAGACTGGAGGGTCTTCATCACACGGTAGGGATGGAAATGTCCAGTCAGTCTACAAGGACATGTGTGATCGTAGGATAAGGATGGAAACAAGATGAGATCCAAACATTATTTCGTAAACACAAATTAGTCTTTTTTTATCACAATGTGTTCTGAGTCCTACACGTTTCAAGCAGGAATCAATCTAAGAAGATTCTTATACCAAAAAGCTAATTAAAATACATGTTTTAGAGGCAGTGTTTTAATAAACATCCGTTCAGATTTAAGAGGATTATCCACTCTTGGGCTAATTGCTGTTTTTTTTTATTAAGAATTAGAGATAATACAGTATAGATAATTTAGAATAAAGTAAAATATCCCTTTACTGATCCTCCACATCATATCCTAACTTCACTGTCCTTCATCTTGAATTTCTCCATGATGATTAATGTTTATTCAATTTAATTCTGCTTATTTATATATCATCAATTCACAACATGTCATCTCAAGGCACTTTACAGTTCAACCAGATCATACAGTCAAATTGATTCAAAGTTTTCTATCTAAGGAAAACCAGTTGATTTCATCGACTCATTGACTCGAAGTCAATCCCTCACACTAAGCATGCTTGTAGCGACAATGGAGAGGAAAAACTCCCTCTTAACAGGAAGAAACCTCCAGCAGAACCAGGCTCAGTGTGAGCGGCCATCTGCTGAGGCTGATTGGGTCAAGTCATGTTTTAAACAATATGCAAGCAGCGTGGTTTAATTAATAATAAGTTTGGTTTGGTTTAAGTTTTTTAGATTTTTAGCTACATTCAGCGAATCAGATGCCAGCTTTGGTGCGATAAACAGACTCAGGTACTTACTGTAATGTTTCCTGTCGGTGCTGAAACACAAAGATTTATAAGTAACAGTGCAGAATGTATTAAGCAAAATCAAGAAGTTTAGTCATTTTTGCAAAATTTATCATGAAAGCCCAGGAATAACTGGATTAGCTGGACTGTTGAGAGATCTGACTTTTAAGTTTCACAGAAAATACATCTTGAAAGACTCCCACTAATACGTCCGTCTCATAACGACCAGCGAGTCGGACCAATGACATGCCAGCCGTGTTTTTGGGGGCGGGACATGTAGAAAAGGCGACAGTCAGAAGGGCCTTGCTGGGGCATAATAAACATGGCTGCGCTGGAAGACTCGCCTATCGATATTGTAATTGACTTGGTTTTAGCTAAAATAGTGAAAATATCTAATTTAAAAAAGGAGCAAAGAGAAGCACTTTGTGCATTTGTAGACGGTAAAGATGTCTGTGCTTTTCCTCTGAGAGGGTTTGGAAAAAACTTTCATTTATCAGCTTACTCAGCTAGTTGTGAAAACACTCAAGAAGCTGCAGACCAATCTTATTGTAATCATTGTGTCTCCATTGGTGACTCTCATGGACAACCAAGTTGCATGAAAGCGATTGGCTGAAAGCGTATTATGGAAGGCGGGTACCAGCTGGCACATCATCCAATCAGCTCAAAGTATTGAACCAAATGTCCCTCTTTTACATGGAACGCAGCCGTCCCCGATTTATAACGTAGAACTCAACTCAGTCCTACACATATCAGTCTGGATACTGCCAGATCACCATCAGACCACATACTAAGAGGAATGCCTGATGCTTCTCAGAAAACCTTAAAAGTCTATTTTCCGACGCTCAGGGTCTAAATTGTATAAAGTCAAGAATAAATCTGGGGAAAATAAAAAAAGATAATAAAAAGATGTAGTTAAATTGATCCGCTTGTTTGTTTTAAACATATGAACAACGTTTGGAAAAGAGACCTAAAAATTAAATTCAGTTGTTTTAAATATTATTGTCAATTATGCTTCAAAGGGGAGTTAAACAGTATTTTACTGTACTTTATATCACATCCAGTTTCATCTTTTTTTATGCTTGATAAAACTTTATGAACATAATGATCAGTTTTTGCATAGCGTACCAAGTATATAGAGATACCTGCTGCATGTCCCTACTAGCTACAGATAGGCATCCTTCATTTAAAGGAGCAGAAAGTGATAAGGACACCTGGTGTTTTAATACTTTTGAAGGTTACTGATGCTTTGTTGAGACTATTTCAGCTCTGCTTCTCTTACTTCCCTTCATTTTTCAAGCCGCTGCTCTTTTTGTCAGCATCAAATACTGAATGCAGCAGAACATCCTGCTTTAGTTGTCCTGGCAACTCTGATATGATTGGCTCATAAAGGTAAACATGAGCTACACGCTGCACTGCAGTAGTTCAGCACCTTATCTCTGAGGTTTGAAAGGAGAAAAACTTGACTAAGACACAGTTGATGGAGAGGACTGCTTAAAGGGAAAGTTACCTCCATCCTAGATTTAATCCTACAACTATTTTTCTTACTGGTTGCTTCCTTAAATGTGAAACTCCCTAAAATGTTGCCCATTAAAGCAAAAATGCAAAATATGATGTTCCTCAGTGAGGTTTAGAAGCACAAGATCTATATCCAGGCAACAGCAAAGATCCTGCTACATGGCTTATTTTGGCATTTGACCAATTAATGAGCCCTTGAATGATATATTACCTTCTGTAAACTGAGTTGGAAAAAAGAGTAAAAAAAAAATAAAAATATTAAAAAAAGGTAAAAAGCTAACTGAAAAATTTAAAAGTTAATAAGCCTAGTTAACAATTATATTTAAGTTTATAAACTAAAAAATGTAAGTGCCAGTATCAGCATTAATGCCTCTAAGGTTATGTTGTACCAAAAAAAATGTGTTTCTTCATGAATTTTTCAATTTTTCATGAATTTCTTATAGAAGCAATATATTTGGGAAAGTTGGTGTTTCTTGTTATAAATCGACATTAATTTTTGCCATCAAAGTATCCAAATTTTTTTAATGTTAAAAAGGTAATGAGGTCTTGTCCTGGATTCCAATAACACTATTGTCTTGAAATTTTGATTTTCCCTGGGTGCCCTTTAATGGGTTAAAAGAGAAAAATAAATATTAAATAAATATTAAAAAAAACAACAATATTATATTATTTAGATTTTAATACATAGATTAATACATAGATTTGAATACATAGTGATAGCACAGAAAAAGTTGGTTGATTTCAAATGATGCAAGTTTTGCAGGAAATAATCCCCTTTTTCCCAAGTTGTTCGTATAACAAGGTGATATGGGGTGTTTAGTTATATATAGTTATAATAGTTTCCAGACTGTTGGATTAATTACAGTATTTATTAACTCTTCTTTAGTTTTTCAATCAAAAGCAAAAAAATAGTAATAGATTAGTTTTACATGGTGAAAGAAGTGCATCTTTAACAACAAAAGAGAGGGACAGAGCTGCATTACTGCATTACATAAATTATCAGGGGGGTTGGGGTGGGGAGGAACATAAAGTATGAAATAATACGACGAGGAGCTTGGTGATCAATCGTAAAAATAATAAACAAATACAACACAGCTTCAAAGCAGACCTACTGCAGATAGTTTTCTGGAATAAAAGATTTGCACACAGGTTTGTTTTACAGTCTGGGACGTCCAGGTGAAGAGAGGATCACAGCCTTTTCTGCAGTTTGGTCTTTACAAAAAAAAAAGTGCATCTGGTTCACCCCTGATTTTAGGACAGATTTTAACAACACGACTCAGATGGTTCTTGTCTTTTAATGTGAGGCAATTATACCAACATCAAACTGAACCAAGATGCTTATAAGAGAAGACCTGCTAAGTTCCTTCATTATGAATAAAAAATTTGTTTTTTTGTTTATTTTTATATTTTTTTTCATTTAAATAAAAAAAAAAAACATGATTTGTTGAGAACTATATCAGTGTTTCCGCGGGTCATTAAAAATCATTAAAAGTCATTACATAATTATTTTTTTAATTTAAGGCCTGATTTGGCATTAAAATTCATTAAATGCGATGATCTTGGCATTTAAAATGCTTTATTTAAAAAAAAAAAAAAAAACGTACTTTACTAAACAATACAGTATATATATTTGCAGAACTGCTTCGGTTGATCGTAAAGCCGTATGTTCGGAAAAGAAGCTCGCTCTGGAGAAAAGGCTAGAGAATGGGAAAATGCAAATTTCAACAAAAGTGGCTAGAAATTGAGGAACTGCAGCCTGCCGAAAGTTAAGATGAAAGATCAGAGTCATGGGTATTTGTTGATGGCATTAAAATTATTTCTAAGAGCATTAAAAGAGCATTAAAAAGCATTAAATTAGAGTTAATCATTCCTGTATAAACCCTTTATATGAATTTAAAATAGGCTCCTTCAGCAAAACAATTACATGAAGAAGCATAATTTATATCACTAAATATCCCAAAATTACCCAATTTAATCATATTCTTTAAATACGCCAAACCTCTGATGAAAAAAAAAAAAAAAAAAGACAAAGGAGAAAAAAATAAATATTCATTGGATTCATCATTTAAATCAGATTTGAAATCTATCTAATTAATGATAAATGCCCATATTTACTTTAAGCTGTAATAGCAAAATAAAAAACTTTAGTGATTCTGTGACAGTTTAAGTCTTCACACCTTTTGTGAGGTTAACCCTTTAGTTAATTCGATCCATTCAGCATTCCTCTGCCTTCTCTCCCCCTTTAACGCTCTGCAGCTCCTGGGGCTTGCCAGTTTTGCTTCTTGCTCTCCACCCGAGCCGGAGGCTTAGGCATAAACCTGGCCACTGCTGACACCGTCATCATCTTCGACTCCGACTGGAACCCCCACAACGACATACAGGTGCGCTTCAGTTTAAAAGCAACTTTTTTTCTCCAGCTTCGGCTCTGTTTGCGTCTCTGAAAGCGAGCCGTTCCCCTGCAGGCGTTCAGCAGAGCTCATCGCATCGGGCAAGCCAACAAGGTGATGATCTACCGCTTTGTGACGCGAGCCAGCGTTGAGGAGCGCATCACTCAGGTAGCCAAGAGGAAGATGATGCTGACCCATCTGGTGGTGCGGCCCGGTCTGGGATCCAAGGCCGGCTCCATGACCAAGCAGGAGCTGGATGATATCCTCAAGTTTGGGACGGAGGAGCTTTTCAAGGACGAAGGAGAAGGTGAGGAAATGTAGGAACAAAGCAGAAGCTCTCATTCACATGAACAGGTTTGTAAAAGCCTTTCCAACTCTTCCTTCATCAGGCATGAAGAACAACGCTGGAGACAAAGTTGAGGATGAGGGCAGCGTCATTCATTACGATAGCGCTGCCATCGAGAGGCTGCTGGACCGCAGCCAGGACGCCACAGACGACACGGACGTCCAGAACATGAACGAGTACCTGAGCTCCTTTAAGGTTGCCCAGTACATGGTCCGAGAGGAGGACAAGGTGAGATGGAAACAGGGATCAAACTGATGGAGCTCCTGGCAGAGCTGTGCTGAAAGCCACCGATATATAGCTTGTTCTAGAGATGGACTGATGTTTTATCATATAATCCGAGCATGCAACATGCATTTAAAGCCCTGCTTTAAGATCACATAAAGCCGATCACTGACAAATGGAGACAGACAAACCAATTTCAGCTGCAAAAATTGGCCCCAAAAAATCGGCAGCACATATTGGGGATGGGTTAGGCTGATGTCATAATACTCGGATTTATTATAACCTGTATGGGTCGATCTCTTGTTCATAAAATGAATGATTGCTTTAAAACAAGAAACACGCTGGTTACAAGGAGGGAAAATTGTTCTTTAGTTTCTTCAGCCTAAATTAAACGTGTTTCGAGAGGATTCACAAGCCCATTTCTCCTCGTGCATGCTGTTTAATAGTTGCTGTTTGCAACACTCATACAAGCTCACTTTACAAAAAAGATTTATCATTTTTCCACTATGTCAGACTCACCACCGGCAAGTGAAAATGGGGACGAGCATTAGGACGGCGTTACGTAAACACATCACCAGCATGTACCACTTATTTAGATGATCCACCCGGAAAAATCTTCCACTTTATCTTTTAACTAAAACTAGCAGAAGGGCAAAAACTGGAATCACATTTTTTTGTTTTTAACTGAAATAAAAATAAAAACCAGAGCTTGCAAAAAAAAAAAAAAAAACTAACTAAAACCGTAATAAGAGTTTACAAAACAAATGAAAACCAACCAAATTTGAAGCTAAAACAGCCTAGTTTTCATTTTTGTCTATTTTCCAGTTGCTGTTTTCAATTTTTAGTTGTTGTTGTTGTTGTACTGCATTATGCCAGGAGATGGCAGGTCTGTCCTTTCTGGATTTTATTCAATGTTAATATTGGCAAAACTACAAAAGTTTTTTTTTGTTGTTTCTTTTACATCTTGCCATGTAAGTCGAGTTATATTAAAGACTAAAACTATACCTGAACCCAATGAAAACTAACCTAAACCAACTAACGAATACTGAAAACAAATTAAAACTAAAATAGAATTGAAAATAAAACAAAAAACACAATTTAAACCTTTCTGGAAACGTTAGTCAAGTCTTGTGATAGAGTCTCAGGTTTAGCCTTTCTATTATAGCTTTGCTTGTGTATTTAGAGTCACTGTTCAGGTGGACGATTAATAGTCTGGCAGAGCGGCGGTCTTTGTCCACTTTGGAGACGACCTTAATAAAAACTTGTGAAGAAAAGTGGGATTTTCTCTCAGATCTGATAAGATAAAACACCATTTAAAGTATCATATTGTAAGCAGGATACCTTCTCCTGCACACAATACGATATTTCAGTAAGTCGGCATAATTTTTCCTCTCCAACCTGCGTGCAGATCGAGGAGATCGAGCGTGAGATCATCAAACAGGAGGAGAACGTGGATCCGGATTACTGGGAGAAGCTGCTGCGGCATCACTACGAGCAGCAGCAGGAGGACCTGGCCAGCAAACTGGGCAAAGGGAAGAGGAACCGCAAGCCTGTCAACTACAATGACGCCGCGCAGGAAGACCAAGGTAATGAGCCTCTTTGGACGCTCAGAGAAACTGCTCAGATTATAAGCTTTGTGTTTATGAAAGAAATCCTGATCTGGAAGATTGAAAGAATAAATCTAAAATAGTGTAAATAGTGGAGGGGAATGGGCCTGGCCTATTGACAAAGCACCATGTGCTGTTTCAGAGTGGCATGCTGACATTTCAGATAACCAGTCCGAATATTCGGTGGGCTCCGAGGAGGAAGACGAGGACTTCGACGATCGGCCAGAAGGTGAGGAGAGATAAGAAAGAGATATCAGCTGTACTGAGGTCTGTGTTTCATCACAGTTTAACTTTGCTTTAGCTGTTAGGCTTTTCTGGCAGAACTGCATGAGTTAGACTGCCAAGAACTCCAACCATTATCCTACAACTGAGATATGAGAGGAAAAAAAAAATGGCTGCAAGCGAATCCAAACTGTTTCTTTTTTTTATTCCTTGACATCCACTGGAGTTAAATCTTGGGATAACATCATCTGGATGAATTCTCATCAAAGCTATTATTCCTCTGTGGCTTTTTCTGTTGGCTGCTCTCATGCGCAGGTCGGAGACAGTCGCGTCGTCAGCTGAGGAATGAGAAGGATAAACCGCTGCCTCCTCTTCTGGCCAGAGTGGGAGGAAACCTTGAGGTCTGTGTGCCGTTTCAGCGTGAATTAACCTGTCTGATCATGATTGCTTTAGAAATGAATATAAAGCTTATTTTGATAAGCTTACTGAATAAGAGTTCAGTAAATCCAGTTATAGCAAAGTTATGCTTCTTCCCAGTCATCATGGTATCAGTGTTGTTTTACTAGGTTTCTAGCAAAGTTTATTTTGCTAAGACCAAATTAATGAACATTTCGTAGGAAAGCCCTTCGTTGATTTAAAATAACATTTGCTTGGATCATCTTTTAGAGAGAAAAATAACTTTCACAGATTTTGCTACAGTAGAATACAACTGTAAATGGTATTGATTAATCTTTTTAGTTTGGAATCAATGCAATAATTGCAAAAGAATGTAAGTTGTATTTTTAGTTTAGTTTTTATGAATGCTAATCTAAAAAGTGTGGAGTGTGATTGTGTTTATCGCCCCGTCTTCTGGGGATTTCTCTATGGAAGAGGATTAGGGCCACTGAAAAAAAAAAAAAGTTAAGTGATTTTTTTTTTTAATTTTAATTCAGTTTAACATAGGAAAAAAAAAGTCAGAATTCTGCCCTTTTTCTTCTCAAAATTCTGACTTTAATCTCAGAATTCTGCCTTTTTTCTTCTCAAAATTCTGACTTTAATCTCAGAATTCTGACTTTTTTTCTCAGAATTCTGACTTTTTTTCTCAGAATTCTGACTTTTTTTCTCAGAATTCTGACTTTTTTTCTCAGAATTCTGATAGATAACAAACATGTTAGCATCAGGCCATAGCCATATTTGTTTTAGAGACTAGCTCTCTTGTTTTAATGACCTTCTGCTCCTCCATTAATGAGGGGACCCCTCAGGCAGCCTACTGTAATTCCGTAATTTTCCACCAATGTGTCACTGGCCCTCTCAAACAACTCACCTCTTTGTCAGTGAAGCTGAGTGCTCCCACATCTCTTCCTTCATGGTACCCATCTACATTAAGATCCAAAATTCTGAGATTAAAGTCAGAATTCTGAAAAAGAAAAAAGTCAGAATTCTGAGAAAATACGTAGTCAGAATTCTGACTTTTTTCCCATATAAAACTGAAATAAAATTTAAAAATCAGTTAACTTTTTTCTTTTTTTCAGTGGCCCTAATCCTCTTCCGTAGTTTCTCTCCCAGCTTTGCAGACTGAAATGTTTGCCAGATGTTTTTTAGTTTGAATGGAGAGCATCTGTGCACATCTGGACAGTTTCAAAGTCCTTCCTCAGATCTCTGGACTTTAAATAGACCATTTTAATACATCCTTTGTTCCTAACAAAGCATTTTTGTGCCATGGCGTTGAGTTTTTCTGTACGCTGTGTTTTTCTTTACAACTACCACCAAATACTGATAAGTTAGCGACTAATAGTGTGCCGGTGTTTAATTGATATGTAATACAGCTCTAAGTTGAAGTTAGTATTAACAGTAGTTAGTTAATAATAATTTTCACCCTGCATATAGCTCAGCCCCTTTTCCCCTTAACTCTTTCTGAATTCCCTAAAAATATCTCCTCACCATGATGTGGTCTCCACCGTGTGTTATAGCTTTAATGACTTGTATGTGGTTTATGTTTTCTGCTCATTTGATCACAGCATCATCTTTTATGTATCCAATGGTAAACTGAAAACAGGACTTCTTGACAAATAAACAAAAACCTGATCAACTTATTTTTGCAGATAAACCACATGAGTTAGATATTAAGGGGGGTACTTGATGTTGACTTTTTGTATTTAAAATTGTATGCTTCTGCAGAATGTGCCATAAAAACCTCCTCAGTGCTGCCCCCTATGGGTTTAAACATGGCGACTGCAATTAAATGTTAGTTTACGTGTCTATAGCTGCCTTTCATTATAGCAGAACTATATTTTAACGCATTGGAGTGAGGTAATCTTTAAGGTATCGCGATGCCTGTCAGGTTTTAGCTTGTAGCTCCTCTTTATGTCGACTGTTGTAACCATAAAAATGACAGAAACATTGTTCTACATGGTATTGTGTATATAAATGGCACTAAAGCATATCGTCATCCAAACACTTAGAAGTGTCTCTCGGTGCCCAAATTGGTCAAAATATTTTTTAATATTTTTTGTTTCCTGGGCTAATTGGGCTTAAAACATATTTTTCTGATTCTTTTTATGTAGAAAGTAAAACGTATGAATCCTTTACTTTGATGGGACAATTTTCTCCTACTTTGTGTTGTTATATTTATCTAGTCTGTGTACAATTATATGAAGTTTGTAGTTCAAAAAGTTGAAAAGTGAAATTTTGATGCGTTTTGGGTCATTTCCACTTTTTTTTTTTATAGCTTTACTGGTTTTCATTATAGAAAGCTGAAATGCTTCATATTCCCCCCTTAGGTTCTGGGATTTAACACACGGCAGCGCAAAGCTTTCCTGAACGCGGTGATGCGTTGGGGAATGCCGTCTCAGGACGCTTTCTCCTCCCAGTGGCTGGTTAGGGACCTCAGGGGAAAAACTGAGAAGGAATTCAAGTGAGTAAAAAAAAGAAAAAAGAAAATCCCGAAAAAGAAACAGCAAGTATCAAATAAATGTTCTTTTTTTGACTGATTGATACTGTTTAAATAAATCTGTCTCATTTTTATCCTCACCAGGGCTTACGTGTCTCTCTTCATGCGCCACCTGTGCGAGCCGGTGGCCGACGGGGCCGAGACATTCGCCGATGGCGTCCCGAGGGAAGGCCTGTGCCGGCAGCTCGTCCTGACGCGTATTGGCGTCATGTCGCTCGTCAAGAAGAAGGTCAGACAACGAAGGGGATCTAAAACAGGCCAAACATAAGGAGAGCAACACAGTTTATAGAGTTTATAGACTTCTAATCACGGCTTTTAGACTCTGCTCCTTTCCTTCAGCTGGTTATGTCGATGATGCCAAAAAACAACACCAAAGCAGTGAAAATAGTTTCTCTGAAAGAACACGTAGTTCTAAACAGGCTGACAAACGCTGCAGACTATTTAGTCTTTCCTTTTTTCTTCCTCTTGTGTTTCCTAATCCTCGTGCAACACAGCGGGACCGTGTTTAGTCTAACTCTGCCCAAAGGAACAAAGCCTTTTCTGATCACTAACAACAGACTAGAGCTGCTCATCAAGAAGTTTTAGAGACCTGAAAAATACTAAAGACAATATAAATATATAGCTGGGATTAACATGTCTTTAAAAGCAATAAATCAATAATCTGAAGCAGACCTCCTTAGGCTGAGAAGAACTTGAACTAAACTTTGTTTTGTTCTACAGTCAAATAATAGGTAGTAGTATTGGATTACAGCTATTTTATTGCATTATGTCATTTACTACAGTTGTTTTGGGTTGGTGTGTGTGTGACTCTAATCTCTAATATCACTTAGAGATTTCTTGCAAAGCCTCCAGATTGCTGTTTTTGATTTCTGCACGTTGGTCGTCCAAGTTTATTTAGTTTCTTTTAAACATCTTCGAGTGAGTTTTCAGTCCAACCTGTTTAAACCTGCAGCCTGTTCTGATCTGCTGCCTGCGCCAAAGGGAATACCGAATACGCTGCCAACTCCCCATGGCATACTGTAGGAGTGTTTAGATGAGCCGTAGTAGCAAAACTACCCACGTGCAAGGTTTTTATTTTTATTTTGTGCAAACTCTGCTTAGTTTTTTGGCTTTCTTGCGTTCAGATCCAAGAGTTTGAGCACATAAACGGACGGTGGAGCCTCCCGGAGCTCAAACCTGAGGTCAGCATTGACAAATCCTCCTCCCGTGGTTCCTCCCCTGCTGCAAAAACCGCTACTCCCACACCCGACGCCAGTTTCAACAACACCCCATGCACGTCCAAACCAGGTAACCCCTTTGATTTACTTTAAGTCCAGCAGGGGGCGCTGCAAACTAAAGAACACCTGCAAAGAAAACTAGTGTTGGACTTATTGTGCATATTTCTTTATTTTAACACACACAGCGACCCCAGCTCCTTCAGAGAAGCTGGAAAAGAATGGAAAGGAGGGGGAAAAGGAGGAGGAGAAGGAAAAGGGGGAGGCAGAGTCCTTGGAAAAGGAGAAAGTTAAGGAGCAACAGAAAGAGGTGGATGGGAACAAAAGTGGCGACACTGAAGAGGTAAAACAAAGTCATCAAAACCCAAATATGTTAGCTGCAGCTCATCCCACAATCGCAGGAAACGTTTCCGCTGTCTTCCTCCATTAAAGCAACTAAAGCAGAGGCACTTAAATCTAACTTTAGGCTAGTGTCAGAGAAGGTAAACGTAAAGCTAAAGTGCTACATCACAAACTGCACTTTGGTTCTTTAACCCTCAAATATCGACTCTTTAAACTACATATAACATGAGACATAGAACAAGAGTTTCACCTTTTTTGCAGGTTACAAACCCAAAAATTCAGGACGTTTTAGTTGCATTAACAGAAAAAAAAACACAAAGTAGTTTATATTTATAAAGCGGAAGGAAAAGAGTATATGTTGTTTGTTCTGTTGAGGCTTTTTACAGAACATCAGCTTGCAAATATCTCCATGAAGACCAAAGAACAGGACACAGCTACATAACTACCAAAATATGCTTAAGCTGAGGAAAGAGAGACTGATGGTAACTCTGTAGAAATCCTTAGCTTAGCTGGAGTAATCTGTTGACATGGCAAATATTAGCAGTGTACTCTAAAAATCACACCTTTATGGAAGAGGAGCAAAGATGAACAGACTGATAAAGGGAAGAGCTTCTATTTACAATTTGCACAGGTCATGAAGGAGGCACGGCAAACATGTGGGGATGAGGAAACGGGTCATAAAAATATCAAATTAAAAAAATATACATGTGATGAGGAAGTAAACCTAAATGTCATTCATATTATGAAACATGGTGTTGCTGCATCATGCAGTAGGGAGGAAAAACCTGATGGAAATTCCCCTAGAGGCTCAGATCAGAGCTTTACAGGAAAGATCTTCCAGGTGTAACTGCAGCAAAAGTTGTTCTCTAACATACTGATCGACACATTTATGACATTTTCTGTTGGTCTGGGACTCAAAATCCCAATTCAGTTTGTGGTGTTATTGAAATAAAATGTAATACTTTAAAGAGGTGATGTAGAACAGGCATCCCCAACCTCGGTCCTCGAGGCCCGCTGTCCTGCAGGTTTTAGAGGTTTCCCTGCTTCAGCACAGCTGATTATAATGATTGCAGTAGACCAAAAGCCTGTTAATCAGCTTTCAATTAAAATCAGCTGTGCTGGAGAAAGGAAAACTCTAAAACCTGCAGGACAGGGGGCCTTGAGGACCGAGGTTGGGGATGCCTGATGTTGTAGAACATGCATTAATCAATAATCCCATATACTTACAACCATTAATCGCTAATGTACAGCTTCTAAAATAACGAATAAAAAATAATCCTGTCGATCTTTTCGGTAGCTTTCATCCAGAACAAAAGACACGTCACAGAAGACAGACGAGAGCAACACCAAGGAGGAGGACAGGAGAGAGTCAACAGAGCCTTCAGCTGCTGCACCAGAGGAGAAGAAATCACAGGAGGATAGTAAGGAGGAGGCAAAACAAGAAGCTGCAGTTACAGAAAAGAAACCAGGTAACACACAAACAAGACAGACCAACGCAGAAAGAAAAACCATGTGACTAAGACGGTGTCTGTTTGCAGAGGGAGAGAGGGAGGAAAAGGAGAAAGAAAAGCGGGACGAAACGCGAACGACTACAGAAGCAGCAGAAGCCAGAGATAAAACCGAGGCGTCTGACCTGAAGAGAGGTGCTCACCGATGTCCAACAATTAGAAAGTATGGAAGGAAGGAGTTTCTCTAATTAGCTGTTTATTGTTCACAACAGAAGAGGTCAAAGGTGAGAAGGACGCCGGGATCAAAGTAGCAAAGGAAGAGCCGACGACGAAGGGTAATGGGAAGCCTCAGGCTGAGCGGCCGCGCTTCATGTTCAACATCGCCGACGGCGGCTTCACAGGTTAGCATGTCTTAGCTGCCCTTCTACAGACTTCTACAGTTTGTGAGTCATTAGCAAAATGATCTCAGCACATTAGAAAATCTATCTTGTATTCAGTGTGATGCTCCGTATGACTTTTCTTTCTTTTCTTTTTTGTGCTAAATTCATGTACATGAAGCAGAAACATAAACGGGGTCAGTTGGCACATTCTCAGAAAAGATGGCTGTAGAACTTAGATGTGAGGAGCTAAAGGAGATCTCACAGTTTGTGGATATTTGTGCTATATTTCAAGCATCCAGTGCTGATTGTAAAAGAGAATTTAGTTTAAAGGGTATAGTGGGGGATTTTCCCTAATTTTTTAAAAGACACGCCCCTCCATTTAAAAAAAATGCACATGCAGGAACACCTATTAAATGTGTGTGAGAGCGTGCACAAGCCCATTTCTCCTCGTGCACGCTCTGTTTGAAAGTTGTTGTTTGCATTACTTATACAAGCTTACTATACAAAAGAAGATTTTTTCCACTCCGCGGTGAGAAAGGTGAGCTTCAATGACTGTCTTACAGCGTAGCTCACCACAGATATAGGCCTGAAAGTGCGCAAGCGCAGAAAAAGATAGCTAACAGGGGATGAGTACGTAGGACGGCCTTACATAGACAAATCACAAGATTGATTGACAGTTAGGAGGACCACTTATTTTGATGATCCACCTGGAAAAGGAACATACCTCCACTATACCTTTAAATAATCATATCAAAACAGCATCCAGAAAGCTCTTAAAGTTACACATTTGGTCAATTATATAGAGTGAGATGTGATAAATAGATAAAATTTAAGTCAGTTTTGTTCATATTCTTGTGATATTTATTAACATGTCTAATTTACGGATATTAATCGTTAGATATATACTGTATACCATTATATCATTAATGTTTGTAGAAATTTAAATATTTAATAGACAAAAGTTACAGGAATATATACTGTATCACAAAACATTCAATTGTGCAAAACGTGCATATTTTAATGTGATCAAAATGTAATGTCTGAAAGGTATAACCAGTGGTGAACGAAGTACTCAACAGTAGTACTTCGGTAAAAATATTGATACTCATGTTGATACTCAAAAGTTACTCAGGGAAACATCTACTCAAGTTAAAATATTAAGGTACTCACTTTTGAAAATACTTAAGGATTCTAAAGTACATGCATTTTGAAGTATGTAAGTATCCACAAAAGTATACAATTTACATGTTCTAATAGAGTATTTCTGTATAATTATGCGAGTGATTTTAAAGGAGCTTGTCATTTTCAGAAACCATCTGATGTACTGATATTTAGAGCCACTCTGCTTAGAATTATACACCACCTGTAAAGAACTGCAGCTTAAAAAGGCTAAAAAAACAAAGACAGAGATTTTTTTTTTAATATTTATTGGTTATTCAAAAACAAGCCAAAAATAAAACAGGACAGTCTTGATTCTCCTCATACTTTCACTTTGGAATAGAGTTTTATGGTTGAATCTACACAGTAAAAAATGAATGGTGTTAAAGTAACACTTAGAGAGTCAATTTCAACACTGAGCCAGGTTACATATGGTCCTGCCCTGTACAGTGTAAAAGCTACACTGATCACAATGTCAGACTTTCTGAGTTAATTTAACTCTAGTAGGAGTCAAATTTAGTTATAGAGTAAAATCAAAATTACTCTGACAATTGTTAACTTAGTTTAACACTTGTAAAATAAATCAAAACTAAATGGAGTAAAATTAACTCTAGAATTCTGACACTGAGGTGAGTGTGAGTTTAACACTGTACAGGGCAGGACCATATGTAACCTGGCTCAGCATTGAAATTGACTCTTGGTGTTACAGTACAATTTTTTTTATCTCAAGGTGTACAGACAAAACTTAAATAAGAATTTAAGGAAAAACAACCCTATATCCATGTCTTGTCAATTTATTAATTTCAGCACATCAACAAAATGCTAATAAAATCTAGGCATCGAATAAAAAAAGCGAACAAAACATTTGCATTTTTCTCCTTGGAAAAAAACAGGATTATTTTTCATATTTAGATCATCTTTTAAATCTAAATACAAACCAACCTTTGAAATATGCTCAGATGAAAACATCCCACATACATTTGGATTTGTCAGAATAGATTGCAGTGTATAGCTACCAGCTCGTCTTTTTTCTGTAAATGTATTAAATCATTTAATATATTTACAGAAAATGTATTTATAAATAATATATTGTAAACCCAGTTATTTTTACAAGGTTATCGAATTTATTCCAGATGAAATTCAGAGGGGAAAAAAGTTAAAATGGCACTTACCGTGGTTTTCTAGAGAGGAGAAGCAGACAAATGGTGCAGAGAAAATTCTAGACTCTTCTGGGCATGTGGGCGGAGCATTTCAGAGTAATTTTTACCATAACAAAAGAGTTAACTTTAAAAAATTAACAGATTATGTTATCAAGGGTCCTTACCAAACCGATTTTAACTCTGAATATTTTCACCAACACCGCTATACATAATGAGGCATTTGACGCTCACTGTTGTTGGACTGACTTATACAGATTCTGACACTGACAATTTGACTCTCTGAATTTTACTGTGTATTACCAAAAAGAAACTAAATCTTGGTCACATGGCAACAACTAACGCCTTAATACAATTATAAATTACAAATGATAGTTCCTCACATGTGTGGAATGTCATGCAAATCTCTAAAACAGTGGTGTCTAAATTCAGTCCTAAAGGGCTGTTATCATTCGTGTTGAAACTGCATTTCAAAAAAGAAAAACAGCAGTGGATTAAATAGCTGAGCTGAGCCAAAAGGAACGAGTAACTTCCTAGAAATGGATCGAAGTAGAAAGTACAACATTTTACTTTGGAAAATAGTGGAGTGAAAGTTATAAAAAACAGTTCTTAAGTTCAGTAATCAAGTAAATGATATTAGTTACTTTCCACCACTGGGTATAACGTCTCAGCTCTTCCAGAGCAGAAACCTGTTCAAAGCAGGACTCTAGCAAATAAGATACTACACATCTCATTGTCAGGATTGGTTTGTGGACCCAAATGCAGAGGCAGGGAGGCGGACTTGAGTTTCTTGTGGATTTAATGAAGAGTTAATAAACAACTGAGACAGGAATCCAAAAATCCCAAAAAATCAAACATGAAAACAAAGTCAAACAAACCAGAAACCAAGGAGACATCTGGGGGGGAAACAAACACGAGGAGGAAGACTCAGAGAGACGGAGTTGGAGAAAGTTAGACGAGGAACCAGCACTGAAGAACTGCACAGAGAGACTACTTATGGGAGACTGAAACAAAGGGAGGACTAACGAGCAGATTGGGAGCAGGTGTGAACAGAGCAGAACAGGAAAGGAGCTAGGGAAAAAGGAGAACACAAGAGGGCAGCAGTGGGTAACAAATAAAAACCTGGAAACTGAAATAATCAGAAAACACAACAAAATAAGAATTAAAATACTAAAACTAGAAAACTGTCATGATCTTTTTCAGTGATCTGACCCACATGCAAGAAACCACTCAGAGAAATCAAGGGAAAGTAACAGGTTTATTGAAAACAAGTCAAGTTGGGTCCAGCGTTGCTCTGAACGCTGGTGAACCGGGACTGAAAAGTGAAAGGGGAAGTTCTGTGATTAGTTCAGGCTCAGTGGGAAATTTGAGCTCCGATTTGCAAAAGGTTGAAACAGCAACTGAACTCACGTTTCCAGAAAAGATGTCCTTCCCAGAATCCAGTCGGTGTGGTTTGTTCCAGAAATTCGTTGGCTCGTTGGAGGGCGGACAGGGTTTACCCAGATTTAGTAGGTTCCATGAGGAGCGGAGGAGCTGACTGCCACTTAGATTTCCTGTGGTACTTGAACGGTTCTTGTGGAGATGAATCCCCTGCTCAGTGTGAAGCTCAACAATCCTTTTGGGGGGAAGAGGGTCCAAACCTCCAGTTTGAATCCCCTGCTTAGTATGAAGCTCAAGACGATCCTTCCAGGGGGAGAAGGTCCAAACATCCAGTTTGCAGGATGACTTCCTGCCGAGAGGCAAAGACAAAAAACAAGGTTAAGACTCAGGGAGACATAAACTCAGTTTTACTCAGCAAAATTTAGCTTGGCTAGAGTACCCAAAACTGGCAAACACTCTGGAGTCGAGGTAGTGGCAGTTAGCAGCTTAAGAGTCCTCAGATAATGAGGCAACCATCTGCAGGTGTGTGAAAGGGCCAACGAGAACCAGGCGCCACCTGGTGGTGGAGGGAGAAAACACAAAAACACAACCCACACAAACTGGATTCCTAACAAAAACATGGAGCAAAGTAAAACTGAATACTCAAAAGAAAATAACAGAACCAAGACTGTGACACTCATGACCAAACCTTATTTAGTCGGCCAAATCCCTTACATTAAAAGTAAACTAATAGAAATTGCCGCTTTTATTTCTTATTCTACTAAATAACAAGGTAACATGCTATGATCTTTATGTTCTATAACAAGTTTAATGTAGATGTGCGGCCTCAGTGTTTAGATCTAATGCTGCTCACAGTGACCCTCAGTGACCTCAGGGAGCATGTAAGTATGTTGAGATATCATGACACATTAGAGGGAACATTGCTTAAAATACAGATGAGTCAAAGCAAATGGGTTGTTTTATTGTAAAAGCATCGTGAGTGATTTCATCCATTTAAAAACGTCATCCCATTGAAATTAGAGAACCAAGAATGAGGCAATATGTGGGAAATAAAAATTATTGCCTGGAAATTTAATGAAACACCAACTATAGTATCACTCTTCCAGTTATTAATGTATTAAGAAACTTTTTAGGTGGAAATATACCAAAGTAAGTCAATTATCATTTAAAAATCTCTTAAATTTGTAATGATACTTTTTCCTGCATGTTGACCAATTTATACTAACTATATCTATTTAATGTTTGATCATTTAAAGAAAGATTAGTGGAAAAACCTGAGCTGGTTTGAAGAGAAAGGTTCAGTTGAGGAAACTGTGTCATTAAACCAACCAAAGTTGTCCAAACAACTTAAAAAGCCTCCACTTGTATCAACAAATAAAAACTAAATCTTGCTTTCAGGGCCTCTGAATAATCACACCTAGGGGCCAAGGAGTTTATCCTGAGCTCTATCAGCGCCCCAGAAAAAGCTGTGGGTCTGCAGAGAAAAACACCTGCGGTCAGACGGCAGCCAGGTACGCCGTCTGAAAGCGGCCTCCTTGTTCTCACCTCGCTGCCTTCTTCTTCTTCCCGCAGAGCTGCACACTCTCTGGCAGAACGAGGAGCGGGCCGCCATCTCCTCTGGGAAGATGAACGAGATCTGGCACCGTCGACACGACTTCTGGCTCCTGGCGGGAATTGTGGTGTATCCTTTAGAGCAGTTGCCCGGGAGATGACCCCCACTGTGTTTATTTATGGGGATCTTTTCTCTTTCTTTTTTTTTTTTTTTTAACTGGAAGCCAGACGGCAAGCGTAATAAGTCAACAAACCAGCCAGAACGATCCGTATGAGCTGAACAGTGATGGAGAAAGGGATTTAGTTCAGGTTGCTCCCTTCATTACGGTAGTTAAGGACATTTTGATCATACTTAATAACTAATAAGGAAGCAGATTCAGGGTAAAATGCAAACAAGAAATCCACTTTAGAGCTTACTTAATGCTAACTAATATGATAAACTTAAAAATTATCAGTTTTGTTTGTGTGTTAAGATGTTATCTCTAAATTGAAAGTCTATAGTTAAAGATCTCCCCTTCGTAAAGTTCCCTTCGTAAAGATCTGAATAAATCTGTCCTTAATTTGATAGTTAGTTGGCACTGAAGTGAGAAATGTAGCCATTTTTTAAAGACCCTTGACCAGTTTATCAGACACGGCTACGCCCGTTGGCAGGACATCCAGAACGACCCGCAGTTCGCCATCGTCAACGAGCCTTTCAAGTCGCAGGCAAACAAAGGAAACTTCCTGGAGATGAAGAACAAGTTCTTGGCTCGACGTTTTAAGGTAGGACCCCCTGATAAAAGAGACTAACTACAAATTAGGGCTGGGAAATATGGCCTAAAAATAATACCTCAGATTTTTTTTTTTTTAATTCAATTTACGATTTTTTCCGTTTTCTTTCCCCCCTCCCCCCCCTTTTTATTAGAGAAAGTACAAACGGGGCAGCATGTCTTTGGGTATGCGGGCGCATCACTACCGCGCCGCGCTATTGGCAGCCATGTTTCTGTTAACAGATAGCTAGTTAGCTCTCTGGTCCGGGAACCTTTTCTGACCATTTTGAAATATGCATTTCAATACACAACCCCATGTCTTCTAATACAACCGCATCTAAATAAACGTTTACATTTTCTCCTTTAAACTGTGTCTCTGACATCATCATTGAACATGCTCAGAGCAGTCTGGCAAAATATGACTAAGCTTTGTTTATCTGCGTTTTAGTTGTTTCTTTCTTTAGGTTACGCGCTATATACCATAATGTTAACACGAAAGGAAAAATCTTAAAAATGAAAAATACTAGATTTATGTTTAAATCCAAAGCCGAAAAAGTTAGCTCCCGGAAGTAGCGTAGGATCCCATTTCCTATGCAGATCGGGCCGAGACAAGTGATAAAACAGAGAGGATTTTAAGGCCTTTATTTTCTCACCAAACTTAATTAAACTTTAACACATTATAGTTTAGTATACTCACTGTTTTTAAGGAGGGGAAAATGCAATTTAGGTCTTTTCTACAAAATAAAATCGAGAGCAACCCAGATGCATATCTGGTTGAGCATGCCCAAATGAGCTGATGGTGCGGCGATGCTTCCGGGACGGATCTGATATAGTGTTTCGTGTGACGCTGTTGCTTGTAAAACTGCAACCTGAGAGTGAAATGCAGATTATACTTCTACAACCGCACACATCAAATGTCTGGTCGCGAACCAGTTTTGCTGGTACGCTTCTGCAACGACGGTCTGGGATTTCAAAGTGCTAAGGGGGAGCCTAGTCGAGAACTCGCAAGAATTTCTTCGGCGGCACCGGCGGGAGTGTTTATTCTCCAAAACAACATGTCTAAGGCATCTTACAAGTGGTTGTACTTCCGAACCTCCTCGATCAACCTTTCGTTGTGGTTATCCATTGTTGTTATCACTCTTCGGTTTTTACAAATGGCGCACCCCGGCACCGATTCGAGAAGGAGGACCACACAGACAGCAGACACAGAAAGGCATACCAAGGAGCAATCACAGCTGCTTTTTGTCTGCGCACTTCCGCTTGAGGTCTGTGCGGGTTTGCTACCGTCCAACGCATACTCAGGATTTTGTTGAGGTGAATAACGATGGTTGCAGAGCCTCTGCATTTGGGGCATGGTCACGCACAGAGACAGATTAGACATCAGAAATTTAAATTGGCCTTAATACTGCAGCTACAGAAACCCTGGGGAGCCAAAAATGCCCCGTTATAAAAAAAATTCATTAAACTTTTTAAAAAATCACCTGCAATTTAATTCATTGAATAGATTTTTTTTTGCCAAGGCCTACTACAAATAATTTGTTTTTTATTACTTCAGAGAAAAAATAATAAGAATTGTTAAACGTAAAGCGTCGTATTTTTGGTCAATATTAGAGTTTTTATTCCTCTTTGGAAATTGGCCGATTCATGCATGTGTTAACTTTGTATTAGTGCATTCAGCAGCCTTGCCTTTAGATTACATCATGACCATGAATTGCATTTTTTCATATAAATGTTTTTTTATTACTTAAATTGAGATTTTTGTAATATTTGTTATAATTGTGTAATTTTATCATGTAAACAGAAGAAAGAAAAGCAACATTGGCTTCAGCTGTGGTAAAATAATTAGTATCAGGCTTAAAAAAAAACAACCTGTCTGTCTGTAGTTTCCAAGCCTAGAATGTCTCTTCAGTCACCTGACTGTTCAGTGGTCGTATGACGGATGCCCCTTAGACCCACATTTCTTCTGAGTGGTACTGCTGACGGCTGCACTTCTGGAAGAGCTCTCATCCTGTTTTCGAGTGGCTCACATGTTTCAGATCCTTCCCTCAACATCCTCATTTACTGTATCTCCCACTCCTGTTGTTTCTCCCCATCTCCTTTTAACAAACCGTTTGAGCTTTTCTGAGATCAGACGACCACAGAAGCACAGAAACACACAGAGAAGCAGAACATTTCTCATAAATATCCCTCCTGGATGTCGTCAGCTCTGATTGGTTGTGTAACCCGACTACCTGTTTCGCAACATTGCTAAATATAGACAGATTTTCCTTGACTCACAACAGATTCAAGGTTTACATCTTAATTTGTAATACAGGAGTTAACAAGGTCAAAGAGATCATCTAAAGGAATGAGCTTTTAAAAGAAGGTATCGCCTTTTTTATCAGTTCGATTACCTTATATTCATCCAGGCAGCTTTTGGAAAACACAAATATAATTGTTTGGATATAAGATGTAAAAACACTTCATCATTATAATCAGCACTAACTGTGCAGGACCTGAACTGAGCTTAAAATTAACTCCATCTTTTAATGAGCCATGTGTTGTCTTGATAGAATCACACATGGTGGTGAATGATTGTTTGTTGCACACAGGATGCAGAGTTTCAGATTACAGCATAGGAATGTCAACAAGGAGTGTTTTTATTGTGGAAGACAAAAATATCCACATTCTACATATTATCTTTTTATCTGAGACTACATTGTTATTATTATTGTTATCATTATTCTTATGATTTTAATGTTTAATGTTTTATTTTATCAATATTATAATATTTACTTGGTGATGTATTATTATTTTCTTTATTTCTTTATTTCGCTATATAATTGTTGTTTTTTCTGTTGTCAGGTTGTTTTCTGTTTTGTGTCAAAACAACATGAAACAAAAAAAAAATTGATAAAAGCTGTTTTAATCTGAATTAGATCCTTAAATTCTATAACATTTTAGATTAAGGTTTTCCAGCTAAAGAAGGACATGCAATTAAAATAGGTTTGGATTCCAGCATCAATTGTAGCATTTAAAAATAACAACTTTATTAAAACAATTGATTAGATCAGTTGATATTCGAAGTTTGCTTGAGCCCAGTCTTAGTTTTGTTCCTCTCATGCTCCCTTAAAGTCAATAAACTTGACTTTTTACATGATTTCAAATATAGAGCAGAGAATAAAAAGCATGGAATCGTTTATAAATCATATTTCCAGCTTTAAAGGAAGTTAATTATGACAAAATACTGTAAATATGATGTAAAGCTGTGTTTTTATTATGGAAGTAAATTTGGCATTAGTGATCGAAGCTAATCCATACATCCATCCATCTATTCATCCATCCCTATGTCCATCGATCCGTGTATCTGTCCATCCATTATTACATCCATCCCCACATCCGTCCCCATCTGTCCATCCATACATCTGTCTGCCTATCCATCCATACATCATCCCCACGTCCATCCATCCATCCCCATATCCGTCCCCATCCGTCCATCCATACATCCGTCTGTCCATCCATCCATCCATACATCCATCCCCACGTCCGTCCGTCCGTCCATCCATACATCCATCACCACATCCGTCCATCCATCCATCCATCCATCCATCCATCCATCCATCCATCCATCCATCCATCCATCCATCTATACATCCATCCATTCATCCATCTATCCATTCATCCATCTATACATCCATCCATTCATCCATCTATCCATCCATCCATACATCCATCTATACATCCATCTATTCATCCATCCATCTATACATCCATCCATTCATCCATCCATCCATCCATCTATTCATCCATCTATACATCCATCCATCTATTCATCCATCCATCTATACATCAATCCCCACGTCCGTCCATCCATCCATTCATCCATCTATACATCCATCCATCTATACATCCATCCATTCATCCATCTATACATCCATCCATTCATCCATCTATACATCCATCCATTCATTCATCCATCCATTCATCCATCCATACATCCATCTACACATCCATCCATTCATCCATCTATCCATCCATCCATCTATTCATCCATCCATCTATACATCCATCCCCACGTCCATCCATCCATTCATCCATCTATCCATTCATCCATCTATACATCCATCCATTCATCCATCTATCCATCCATCCATCTATTCATCCATCCATCTATACATCCATCCTCACGTCCATCCATCCATTCATCCATCTATACATCCATCCATCTTTACATCCATCCATTCATCCATCTTTCCATCCATCCATCTATTCATCCATCTGTACATCCATCTATACATCCATCCATTAATCCATCTATCCATCCATCCATCTATTCATCCATCTTTACATCCATCCATTCATCCATCCATCCATCCATCTATACATCCATCCATTCATCCATCTATCCATCTATTCATCCATCCATCTATACATCCATCCCCACGTCCATCCATCCATTCATCCATCTATCCATTCATCCATCTATACATCCATCCATTCATCCATCTATCCATCTATTCATCCATCCATCCATCC